GACTATCCCAAGTGGCCCTGGGTGGAGTGTGGTCTGTCAATATTTGCAGGTCATCCGTAGTGGGAGCAACCATGTCTCTTGTAAGCCAGAGATAGCGGGGCTCGTCAGGGTGGTATCTGGTCTCACTGGCGTAAGTCCTAGATAATTAAAATAAACAGGTGGATTACTGGATCGCTTGGCGTACTGGTGCAAGTCCTGATAATCCATGTCTGTCTACTAGCGAGGCGTGTGTTTGCGCGTGCACTTTGTAAAGATTGCTTGCATAAGTATGGAAAGTGCACGTGTACTTCGTCAGTGAACTTCTATTTGTCTACAGTTTAGCTTGTGAGAGTTTTGTGCAATCATATACCAGGATGATTGAATATTATTTAACTCAAATTTCGTATAAACAGGTTCATTTACGTGAAATGCATGTCATTCCTACTTGTAAGATCAAACTTGTTATAAGTTACCACAAGAAGACATGCGTAAATTGGCATTGTTTCAGTAGCTGAGTTACTACGCAAGCGACCGCAACAGGCTCATATGAGTGTTAAATTATGCAGCTGTAACAAAGTTTGTCTTCAAGGTTGAGCTGCATTCTTACTTCGCTCCCTTTCCCTCCGGTAGTTTTAGTCATCCGACGAGCAATCATTACTTAGGTAAGTGGTGTTTCATCGAGTTGTCAGAAGCTGTATTAGGGAGAACTTTGCGTTCTACGAAAATGTGAATCGGAATATACCACAGGTAAAGATAATATAATATTTAAAAATGCAATTACAGAGTATAAACAGGAGGGAGCTACTACTTTTCTTCAAGTATAACGTTCGTAAGCAATCTGCAATGCCAACCGGAATGGTCTGGTTATCGAAACTGTGCTTTTCTCAATAGAAATATAGCTTTCTTCTTCCAACAAATTGTTGGTTTTTTAAATTTTTCACCCCATCACTACCAGATATTAAGAAAGCATGGAGTCCAAATGAACATAGCAAGTTTCAGCTTCATTAATAGCTTAGACAGTTAGGAAATAACAGAGCATAATAGTACTCAGATAAAGACTACTGAAAAATATATAAACGATAGATTATTCCAAAGGAGCTTCAAGGATACCAAAGGGTGAAACATGTAGGACATACTGGGAGAATCACTATTATCCAAGGGTGTTTTATTTTTATAGTCACCCATCACAGGTAGCTCACATAAAACTATGTGGAAAGAACATTGTGTAAGAAGTTCTGCTGCTAGATGTGTTTTTGCGACATTTGATACACCTGCACGACTACGTCTTTGACACTGCGTTAGGTCATGAGTAAGTTTAACATTACTATGAGGCGTAGATTAAATAACCAGCCCGTTAGACGACTGGAATTTTTTAGCATCACTAGGACTGCTGAATTTAAGTGGCGCAGGACAGGTATGCTTTCCTGATTTTTTCCTGAGCTTGATTTTGTGGTAGTTCACTGCAGACATGCCACATGTCTGGAGATATGTCACTTTATTTTTGTCCAGCGACGTCCGATCAGGCAGACTGTAGGCGAGAACACTGTAGGAAGACATGATACATTTAGTAACTTCATTTGCGATAAATCCAAAAGTACGCTAAGATTCCGGCAGACTATCTGAATGGGTATCGTGAGTTGGGCCACAAAGAAGCAGTAACGGCTTAATGGTATTTATTTTCTCATTGAAGTCCTCCGCAGAATTTCCTACAGGGATAAGTTTTAACTGCTTTGGTTAGCAGTTGCATAAATCTCTGTACCGGTGTTGCACACAGATCGGCATAGTTTCAAGTAGAAGCTGAGTAAAAACGAAACCAGGTATAAGCGCAAACAGTATATCGAGTGGATGTACAGACTAAAAGATACTACAGGCATGGTTTGGAATTCTATTATTTACAAATAAACAACAAATGGGCAAGAGTAATAGCTGTGAAGGATATACCACTAGGAAACTAATTATCCATCGAATGGGTTCTGATATTATAAACTTCAGGATAATAGACTCCTCTACAGTTATCTTCCGTGCTGAGTTGATTTTTAGTTGCAGGAGGAGGATAAGACCTGCCAGGGAGTGAGTGCAGACTTTGTATCTGGAAATGGTATATCTGGATATTTAGAAGATGCAGTAACAGCCAACATTAGTTATAGTTTTGAAGTAGTGTATCATTCAGTGTAGTATCCCAGAAGTTCGCAAGAAGAAATCCACCCTATTGTGACGTCCGTTCGACATAGCGATGCGGATATTGTTATTCCATCAATTAATTGGGAAAGAAACTAACTCTCTTTTGTGGAAGTGTTAAGTCTACTATTACATCTTTGAACACTGAGGTTGCACTTAATATACCATTTCGCATTTTATCTTAACTAGACGGTTTGTGCTTTGTTTGACCCTTGGACATTTCTAGTTCGAGTCGATATTTTGTTAATTGAGAACTAATTTTGACTCGACTATTGTGCTCTTTGTCTTTGAACGCCAAATGACCCCACATATGAAGGTTTGTACTGTGTTTACCTGTCACATTTTGTCCAACAGAGCAACAATCTTGCAGTTCTCCAGCATTCTGTCGTCACCATAATTCTATTTGGAGCCATTTGATTATTTTGGATTTGGTCGCGTTTCTTGGGGATAATTTGGTTTTGCTTCAGTTCAACCTCGATCTTCTTTATCTCCATCTGCCAATCGACTTGTTTTGTACCCACTTTACAATCAGACTGTTTAGTCATTCTTCTCGATGACATTACAGAACGTAATTATTTGGCGACCTGCAGTAACAATCAAAACAGATCTAAAACTGCTCCATCCAAGCACACAACAGTTTGTCATGTGATGCATTCTTAACGGGATATTACTACATCATGAAGGATTATGATCTACCATATTGGCCAAGTTCTACTTTTATACGAGTGAGTTACTACCTTCATGCCGACAGTTAAGTCTTATTACTGTACAGCACCAATTAATCTAGAAGACAAACTGACTCATTCGGAAGCTTTCACTTTCCGCAGGTTTCATCTTTCAATTCACATGGAATTTTTATATTGTTCTAATTTCTAACTGTATAAAAACTGGGAAATATCTGCTGCTGTTTACTGCCGAAGCAGTGACAATTCTTCAAATTTTTAACCTCACATAGACTGCTGTGGTAAGCAGCTTGCGGTCAATAACAATAGGCATTATTATCGGCCGACTAACTGACGTCTTACACAAGCGATCGCACAATATCACAAATCACCTATCAAGCTGACCATATGCTGCACAACTTTTCAATATTGAGCGACTTTACTTGCACTTTAAATAGACTGACACTAGGGACTAGACCACGCAAACTCTCTCGGTATGTTTTCATCAACACTGTCTTGCATATATACATAAATAAACTCATCTTCATCTGCAAACCCCTGATTCCCATCTGACCACTCGCATCCTCTCACATAAGTAGATGCTTTCACCCGCTAGCCTGAACCAAGCCCTATGCATGATGTCATAACCGAGACAGTTTGTCAAGTTATTATGAAACGATAAGTAACGTAGTTTGGGTGTCCTACGATTGTGACAACAAACCAGGGACAAAAACATGAACCAAGGAGCTTCCTGATCACTCAGAATGCAAATGTGCCCAAACTGCTACATATAGCCCGTCACATAATTGCCGCTAAAACTTTTTGGCCGTCAAATTAAGGCCTAATTAAGGACTACGTGAAGAATGACTTTCACTATTACTTCGAAGTATTCACCCCGTCCTCGACGTCAATATGCAATACACTCAAGAAGACCAGATTTATGGATCAGCACCCCGCAAATCTCAAAAACTAATTACTTTGGAGGGTAGCTGCCCAAATATTTCCGAAGTATATATACCCCTGCGCAAACTGGTAAAAACAGTTAAAAATAGGGCCTTACTCACATTTTGAGCCTTGTAATGCTATTCGTAGACCTTCATTAGCACCTTGGGCAAGTCAAGATTATTAACAGGAAAACAATCCCACCATCAACAATTTAGAACTGTTAGACACCACAGATATCCACCACACGAATTCGGTGCTTACGAATGCTGACTCATTTTCTTGCCTGTCTACACTACCTGTAAAATGTTTCGCAAGCTGACTCAGAAAGGACTTCGGTGCAACGAAAGACCTTGAATCCCCAGTATCTGTAATGGAATGCTCGCCACGCACAATCACAGATAGGTTCATGACCTAAACAGCATGCAGATTTTTTCATTTAGAATTATTGAAACTTTTACACTAAACTGACACGTTCGATGTCACAAATGTCATTTTTGGATGTACAGTAATGTATAAACACTTTGAGAAAAACTCGAGAGATATTTCATCCTCTGCTACTTCTCTCTTTCATATCTACTTCCTTTTCGAGAAGTTTCGCGAGTTCGCGTTTTTCAACCACATTGAATTTCATATCTCCCAATGAAGAAGATGGGAAACAAGTGGGAAAGTAGATGCAGCAGCTCCCCTGCGACACTATTGGACTCTTCCGGATACGAATAAGTCTTCTGTAGAAGTTTAAAAGCCTTAAATTATCAGAAATTCCGCTATCTCGCTGGAATTTCATGTAACATGAAGTCATTCCGAAATGGTCAATTTTGAAGCCTTTACTTTGGTCTCCGAAGAAATATTCAGCTTATCATACTTCACAGTCGGATCATGCGAAACTGAAAATTACAGAGAAAAATATTGATAATCAGCTAAAGGGAAGGGATTTCTTTACCAAAGAAAGTCGTTTGGGAAACCCAATTCACCGGAAAAATCTTTGATTTTGAGGTCTGTGTTAGATACTTCAATTTTAGCATCTCGCGATGAAGATAGATGTTAAGTCCCCGATTTGTGAAGCGGAAATATTGATTATACATATTCAGCTATCTTACTGGGTGTAGATAAAACGACAATTAATTCATCAATTTCCTTTCCTATCTCACTGGTGGTATATTTTTGCGTTTTAACTAACCATATTACATCAATGGTGTTTCGTTTCCGTTTACCGCGAGCTTTAATTTTCTGTCAAATATGACTCGAAGCGGTGATACTTCACATTCAGGAGATTATGAAAACTCAGTCATTACCAAAAAGGTATTTTTGAGCTCACTACTTACGTGAAATGAGAAATGAGAATTTCCACAAATGTGCCTGTTCCCAAACTGGTTGCTATATAATCTAACTGCTATCAGGCATGTATCTAGATACCACTTTTACACAAAATTATGGCCTGTTTTTCATATTTTACTGGAAAATTAATATCAGTATGCCCCATTCCGTTCAAAAATTCATTTGAGCTGGAATGTAAAAATCGCCAAACATGTGGTATTTTAGGTTGTTACTAAATAACAGTCATTTACTGATCTCAAATAACTAATACAAGCGGAAGAATTCAAACTGTCATGAAATCATCGGATAATTGTAAATATGAGGGCACATACTGTTTAAACAGATCATTCTGCCTCGCTTTAAACCCTTGACGTAACTTCATCCCAAACCTTACCTTAATTCAACCACTGACCGTAACCAAACCCTAACCCGATCACATTGTGAAATCAAATCGTCAGCAGGCTGTAGCGGCTTGAGATACACACCACCTGTGACTCTCAGCACTACTTCCTTCAAGATAGTTTTCTTTTTTGTGATAACTACTAATATGTAAATTCATACTTGGTAACCTGAAAGTTTGAGGAGCTGTAATGTCGTACATAGAAACTAAGTGAAAATTTTATCTCAATAATCTTTTCTATCAATATGTTCTTTATTCTGAAAAAGGCATCCATCTCTTTTGACTTGGCGAGATTCCATTTGAATTGTAGGGAAGTAAGCCAGTGGTACAGGAGATTTTAACGAAAAGTAGTTACCATAGTTGTGTCGTAAACATACTGTTTTCGTAAGTGTTTTTGACCAATATTCATGCTTTCAAATTCTATCAATGCAATCTTCTAAAAATGGGTAAACATACAGTAAAATCAATTTTAAGGCTTAATGATAGATAGTATTTTTTGTACCCTTTATCTTCAGAAACTTCCGCACAAGCGTATTTCAAATTCAGAGCATAATGCATCATGTCTCAGTTAGTTTTTCTGGATTTTTAGGTGACTTTTATGCATCATTTAATGGTCCGATTTATTGTGAATGAAGGTTTTACTGTTTACACGTCCAGATGACTGCATTTTCATGGGCTCAAGTTCTTCGTGACAGCATTATAAAAAGTAAAGAGGTTTTGTCACATGCAGATCGCCCTGAAATTTGATTGCTAAGGCAGAATGGATTGAATAAGTTGTGAGTAGAATATATATTCATACACTCTTGACTTCAGAGAGTTAATCATTTACTTAAATGCAGTGTTTTCATTACATTTACGTGGTCGCTAAAATCAATTGCGTCAGACTACTCGATGAGTACCTTAAAAACTCCAACTGTTTTATTATTGTGGTGAATGTTCCTTAAAGATTCTTGAAAGAACTGTTATGTTTTATATTTGCTTTGATAGAATTCTGATGTTATACTGAATGTCTAAACACTGACGCAAGACTTGCTTACTTTTCTTTTACTGTAGTCGGACATAGGCCAACACTTCTTACGAGCGGCACGTGCTGGCAATATCCAGAAAGTTTTGTTACTTATCACTGAACACAATGCAGATGTACACGCATGTAATGCAGTAAGTCCAAACGATTTACAGTACTTATATCTATTACAGCCAACTCTTTCTTTCTAAAATGTGTTTTATATTTGGAATTTTTAAGTTTCATTAGTATAATCCCAATCAAAAACCATGTGCTTAGCTATTCTGGTCGTTTAGAAATTAAATACTATGTCACCATTTATACTCACAGTATACAAGCACGTCTTAGTCACCTGTTAATACTGAAGGACAGTTCATTTAGTAGGTTTAGCTTGTCAAACTTGACATGGCTTTGGAAATATACTATTCTTTTCATGCAGTATTCTTGAATTATTATTATTATTATTGTATCCTTTAATTCCTACAGGAACACAGGGCTTCAGCCGTGCGTCTCCATTGCGTTCTGTTCTCTGCTACAGTCTTCACCTGGCTCCAAGTCTGCCCACACGTTCTCATCTCCTCTTCACATGACCTCCTCCAAGTCACCCTCGGACGACCAACTCACCGCTTCCCTTTCGGGTTCCACTCAAGGGCTTGTCTAGTGATGTCACTTGATGGTTTCCTCAGAGTATGGCCAATCCACCTCCATTTCTTCCTGCATATTTGTTTCAGAATCGGTTCCTGGTTGGTTCGCTCCCATAGGTCTCTGTTGCTAATCTTTTCTGGCCATCTGATCTTGAGTATTGAGCGAAGACATCTTTTGATGAAGGTCTTCAGTTTGTCTGAGGTGCTCTTCATGACGCGCTAAGTCTCTGATCCATAAAGTAGCAATGATTTCACATTGGAGTTGAAAATCCGGATCTTATTTTTGATGCTGAGTGCTGAGTGTTGACCTCCACACAGACTTGAGAGTAGTGAAAGCTTGTCTTGCTTTTCCGACTCTTGCTTTGATATCCTCGTCAGTTCCTTTCGCCTGTAGTTGAGACGATGCTTCCCAGGTAGGTAAAGGAGGTTGTTTCTTTCAGGTTCCTTCCATTTATGCTGGTTGTTGTTAGTTGTTGTTGTTGCTGTTGATGGTGTTGCCCAGGAATTTTCATCACCTCTGTTTTCTCTATGTTCACCTGAATTCATATCTTTCTTTGATGCTTCTTCTGCCAACTTGTTGCTTTTCGCTTGCATACCTTCAAGTTTGTGGGAAATCAGACATATATCATCGGCGAAGTCCAGATCCTCCAAGATTTTTGTGTGAGTTCATTTTATGCCTGTTTCCTCATTGTCTGCTGTTTGTCACATTATCCAGTCTACTGCAATCAGGAAAATCATTGCAGATAGTAGGCAGCCAGCCTTGTCTTACTCCTGTCCTTACTTCGAAGGGTTCCATAAGTTTCCCGTTGTGGATTACTTGGCATGCAGCATTGTCGTACAGCTGTTGGATGAGATGTATAATTGTCGGTGGCACACCGTAGTAGCGAAGTAGTTTCCAAATCACCTCTCGATCGACGCTGTCAAAGGCCTTTTCAAAGTCGATGAAGTTGAGGTAGAGAGGTGACTGCCATTCCAGGCTTTGTTCAATGATGATCCGTAATGTGGCGATCTGATCAATGCATGACTTGTTTCTCCTGAATCCAGCCAGTTCCGGTCGAAGTTTTTCACCCAGGGCATGTTTGATACTCTCCAGGATGATGCGGCTTAGTATTTTGCTTGGGATGGACAGGAGCATAATTCCGCGCCAGTTCTTGCATTGACTTAGGTCTCCTTTCTTTGGAAGTTTGAATAAGTATCCTTTCTTCCAATCCTCGGGTACTTTGCCTTCTTTCCACACCTTCTCCAGTAGTGGCGTCATCAAGTCCGCTGTTGTCTCTGGGTCCGTTTTCCATGCTTCTGCTGGGATTCCATCTGGTCCTGCTGCTTTTCCAGCTTTTAGCATCTTGATTACCTTCAGGACTTCTGATTTCGTAGGGGGGTTGGTGTTCACTGGTAGCTCTGTCTCCGTTGTTGGTATTGTTGGGCGCGTTGTAGGTGGTGGTCGATTTAGGAGTCTTTTGAAGTGTTCAGCCCAGTGTTTCCTTTGCTCCACTTCTTTGTTGAGTGACTTTCCATTGTCATCCTTCACTGGCTTGATTTGTGTCAAACGTTTGCCCGATAGGTACCTAGTAGTCTGGTAGAGTGTTGCGAGGTCTCCTTTGCCTGCAGCTTGTTCTGCCTCACTTGCCATGGCTTCATAATATTTTTTTGTCTTCTCTGGCACTCTTCTTTACTCTTTTGTTCAGTGTTTTGTAGCTCGCATTCAAATCTTGTTTTTGTTGCTCGTCGGTGCACTGGATTATCTTTTGTTTCACCATCCCTCTCTCTTCTATCAGTCTCCAAGTGTCCGTAGTGAGCCACTGTTTGTCCTGTCTCTTCCTTCTGCCTAGAACTTCCATGCAGGTTTGGCTCCACACTGTGTTCAAGTTGTTCCAGTGTTTTTCGACGCTGACCTCTTCGCCAGTGTTGATTTGTGTCTCGGCTTTGTCTTTTATACTTGCAGTGAAGATGTCCTTTGTGTCCTCGTCCTTCAGTTTTTGAGTGTTGAACTTGGCTTGTGGTCTATCTGCAGCCCCTGATTCTCTGAAAGCTTTTAATTTGATTTGGATTGTCCCTTGTACGAGATAGTGGTCTGAGCCAACGTCTGCTCCTCTTCTCACTTCTGTGTCCAGTAGGCTGCGCCTCCATTTCCTTGAGACTGAGATGAAGTTAATTAAGTTTTTGGTTCGCCCGTCTGGTGACACCCACGCTGCCGCTAATCTCTAGTTCATCGAAGTCGCAGAAGTCGGCGAAGTGTTCTCCGTTTTCATTCATTTCTCCGAGAGCTTCTCTACCCATGATGAGTCCCCTTCCTGTTTTGTCTGATCCCAGTTTGGCTTTCATGTCTCCCATTAGTATTTTGATGTCACCAGCTGGAGTATTGTCCATTGTTGCCTGTAGTTGTCTGTAGAATTCTTCTTTCTTTTCGAGGTCTGCGTTGTTTGTCGGTGCATAGCATTGTATAATTGACACTTTCCTTCCTTTGGAGTTGAATCTGGCGGTTATTATCCTGGGCGAGATCGCCTCCCATTGCATCAGGGCCTTCTTTGCCGTTGGTGACATCATGATAGCCACTCCCTCGGTGTGCGGGTGGTTATCTTCTGGGTGACCGGAGTAGATCACTGACTCACCCGTTGACAATTTGTTGAGTCCATTCCCGTTCCATCTGCTTTCACATATTCCCAGTACTTGAATTCTGTATCTTTTCATTTCGTTTGCGATCTGGGCAGCTTTGCCAATCTCGTACATGGTACGGACATTCCATGTCCCCAGAAAGACTTTTTCTTTTGTCTCAAGGAGATACATCGTGCTGAAGTTTCTGTAGCAGGTTTGTTTACAGGGTGGGGTTGCTAGCCTCACGCCTGAGAAGGGGGGTTGTTACATCAATTTATAATTTAGAGAGAAGCGACCTTGTGGGTTGCTCCCCTTAAAAACCAGGAAAACAGGGAATAAACAAGCAGAAAAACACCAGCACGGGAAAATAATTCACAACAAGAAGGGTAACAAGCAACAACAACGATAATAATACCACAGTCAATTTCAGTTAACCAAAATGATACCAAAATCATAGACTCACTGACTTGAGCCAACTTGAACATGTAAATCCATCAATATATGTACAATTATAGGTATTAGTTAGTGTTAATCAAGTACAGAGTGGCAAATAGATAGTTATAGGTGATATTGATATACAATATTATATCCAAAGATTCAGTGTTTCAAAGTCAAATAATTGTAAAAGTTTTCCGCAACTTTTTGATTAGATATTCTTGAAGCTTGTTGGAAAAATATAGTACCCACTAGTCCATCGCTAAACTACTAACGATAAACATTTACTCATGCATTTTTGACAGTATGGAACTTTTGAATTTTAACTCTTATTTTTTAACCTGTAATTATGGCAATCGGATTCTTGAGCTTTTATGATTTCGGTTGATGTGATAAGGAGATTTTATATCCTAGCATTTTTATTCATTTTGGCATTATAAAAATGCATAGAAAGTATGATTTCTCACAGGAATAAATGTGGTAAAAAATAACCTATGGCTTAATAGAATTATCATATCAGTTAGGAGTTAGCCACGAAGTCAAGAATATATTTCGATGGGAAGAACTAATATTAGCAGTTAATAGGTAGAAATGGAATTTTAATAAACAATATAACGTTCATTGTCAATTAGATTTTTAAAATGAGATTAGGAAATATTTTTGTCTCTCTGATCGATCTTCGTTGATTTGTAAAATAGCACGTAAAATCATATAGCTAAAACAGACCACCAACAGGAAACTTCATGCATTAGTACCATGTCTAGATCCAACTACTCGCGACTTTGTCTGTCTAATTCGCAACACATCTTGCATCATTATAGTATGCAGCGTATTGGCACTTGAAATGAATGCTTCTAACGCTTTGTTTGATGACTGTTCGGAGTAATTTAGAAATTCAGTGGTTTCTTTCAGATTACATGAGTTTATCCAATATTAAATTATTTCAGATAAACCTATCCAATACTTTATTGTAGTGACTAAACTCTACTCTTATAATGCTTTATTGTTTGCACCTGTGGACTTCGAAGATGTGGGAAGATGCAGATTTGTTATTCATTTCTAATGGGTATAGAGAAGGGTTATTTTCAGTCAGCCTCAGAATTCTCTACCGTTTGAAGATATAAGGTGAGACACTAAGAATAGTGTACTATGACTTCACTAGATATATTGGTCGATTGACTTCGAGTATTTAAATGACCACAATTCCTCAGTTAGAAAATTGTATGATAATGTCGCAAAGAATCACGACGGAGAGACAGAAAAGTGTTTCCAACCAGTGGTTTTCGACACTTGGTGAATCAATTAATATCCAGCAACCCAACAAACTGATGAAATGTCTACATTGGATTTCCACAAACTTTCACGGGCTTAATCACAAATAGTTTGTTAAATAATTAATTGAAAATGTCCATATACTCACCGTTTCTGCCGACAGATTTCTATTGAGCAATTTAATCAGGATTATTGGAAAAATAGAAAAGCAGAGAAGAACAATATGATAAGTTAGTAGCGCTTTGTTTTTTACGAATCTCTTTAAAGCTGATTTTCTCTACACATGCTTGTTCTTGTTCTCGTTTATATATTGATGCATCTTCTTTTATCACTTTGTGTCATACGATGTATTTTTTTATAAAACTGACATTTGTGCATGTGTAGTTTGCGCGTGTGGTCCTTTAATCTCTCTCCTATTTTTTCTGAAAATAAAAAACAAAGATCAGGATTTGTTAAAGGAAAGGTAGTTTAACTCTTTGAGATTTATCTAGGACACCTTTTGTATATACTAATATTGTGAGGAGAGAAATCTCAATTAAGTTGTGGATTTCTTGTTTACACCATTAGATACCACTTTTACAGTGAGAGGGTTGTATATGTCTTTTGTTCTAAAGTAAGTAGGCATTTCAACTAAATCCATCAATTATTATAAGAAGGAAGGCTGTAGATATTAGAGAGCAAAAATAAATGAATGCCTACTTTTCTAAGGTACATGTCATACTCATTAGGTGTACATTGGCATTACCACTTAACTCGCATTAAATCTCCGGAATGTGTTGTACAGATGCACTACACAATTCAGATAAATTACGCATTGTTATTGCTCTTTTTCTGAATTTATCAAGGGTACTAATTGCTTTAAAAGGAGTTTTTGTTTTCTGAAAACTAAGATGGTGATTACTTTCTTCTTTTCTTCAAAGTTATCTATCTATCTTGAAAATAGAATTAGGCGTCAACCGTCGCTTAGATTGTAATCACCTAGTAAGTGTGTCATCTTGAGTTGATCACAATAAGAGTAATAGGTAAACTTAAAACTCTGTATTGAAAAAATAGAAATCAAGGTAGAAGAAACAAATAGTTACCATGTACTACAATGAATTATTTCCACTTCATCAGCTACCCTTTTTATTTCTTAGAGCTCTACTTTCTTTTTTGAAAATAACCTTGTTTTTACAACCCTGTGTTTACATTTATAGAATGGTTTAAATGCACTACATTTAGCCTCAAAAGAAGGACATGCAGCAGTAGTACGTGAACTAATCGACCGAGGAGCAAAACCAAACACTGCTACTAAGAAAGGCAATACGGCTTTGCATATTGCAAGTCTAGCTGGTCAGTTTGAAATAGTCAAGCTACTATTGGAAGCCGGAGCTGATGTGAATGTACAAGCTCAGGTGAGTAATTATATATATGTATATATATATAATTAGGTTACTAGTTTTTCAAGAATTTTCGTTGGTCTGTCTGTATCTTTACTTTATTATTATTTTCTTGATGATATATTTTTGAAAATTAAACTGTTTCGGTGTAGATTTCATCACGAACGCATCGGCTACGACTTCTTGGTACAGCTTCAGGACATCCATCCAGTCGACATCCGTAAGTTTAAAACTTATATTTCGACACGGCCAGTAGGGTCAATCGTGTCAAGGTGAACTTGAACATTCATTGATGGTATTGTTTGAGGGTAGCGCTATATTATGAATAAATATAGGTAGAATTTACGGGTCAGTGAATTCCAGCGCAGTTGGCTAAATGGTCAACGAGCTTGGTTTCCTCACCTGAATTTCCTGGGTTTGATCTCTGTTAAAGTCACAGGTGAGCACTGCTGAACAGTCCCAGTCTACGGCGGAACAGCTTTCCCGTGCCCCCTGATTTTCAGTGATTTCTTTAACTGACTGAATTTGGTTTGTGACGAAATCTAAATTGAAATTAATCTCAAATCCCTACAAAAACCCATAATCTAGGTAAACAATATTTGTTAATTTAATTACCATGAGCTTTTTTTCCTGCAAAACTTCCTAAAATATTTTAAAATAACAAACATTATTTATAAAATGTGTATGATTAGGAATGATAATTAAGGAAACGTACAAATGTATCTATTTAAAAAAGTTTTTCTATGAGTTTGTTTTGAATTTCTGATTCCAAGACAGTGATGACAATGGGATATTAGTTTTCATTATGAACAAACAATTAACGAATAGAATGCAATAAATTCCTGTTTCTTCTAAGTCTGAAACTTCTTAGCATTGCTTAATTAATTCGTCTTGTGTGGATAGTGAAAAAAGAACGACATGAAAAGAAATTTAATTTTTGATGATGAACATAAGGTATGAATACATGTACGCTACAGCGGTAACCTAAGACCGTCTTCCTTAAAGTGTTCAGCCAAAGCTTTTCGTTTTCACGTGTACATCAACCAGGCAACCTACAGTTTCTACTTACCTCAGAGCAACACTTAGTGGTACTGAGTGGATTTTGTTCAGTTATTTGTACCTCTCCTAATCGGGGTCCCAAATAACCTCCTTAAACATTACACAGACCTCAATTATTGAGTCTAAACTCCATCCTGCGAAACACTCAAATAAGTTTATACTTCCTTTTGATCATCCTGCATTTTCTTCATTTGCATTACTGCTGTAGCCATCAATAAAGGAAGGAAGGAATTTTGTCATTTCCAATAAATCTCTCATCCTCTTCATTGTACAAAAGCCTATAATGAATATACAATGAATCTGAAACACAATGTTAAAATAATGGTTTTGATTCTATATCATATATAAATATGTACAATATTTAATTCTTTTGCGTATCGAATGGAACATGAGGTTTCAAGCTCTAAACTTTGAAGTTTCAGTAGACGTGGTGTTTTCTTTTGCGGATAGGGCTGCTCAGCTCACACCCAACCTTCTCTTCTTACCGGGCTTATCACCAACTAAGTTAGGTGTGCGTTGACCAGGATTCAAACCCAGACCATTAGTGTGGTTGGGTAGTATTCTATCATCCATGCAAACCATCACATTACTGGATAGTCTGATTCAATTACTTCACCCAGGGATTCTATAATCATACTGAAATTATGTCACATATCATTGCATCGCTGTGCACATATTCTGATCAAATAATTTCTTTATTTCTGTTTTCAGTGCCTGTTCACTAGGAACCTCATTTTCTACACACACACTAAGTATAATTACTCAGTCTAAAAGCACTGTTTAGTGGATCCGGTATCTTTATCTGCTTTGCTATAACTAGTATGTATCTAATTTACTTCTAACCGAGAATTTCTATCCGTTATTATGATTAGGAGTCTGTTTTTTATGATGTGCATATATCGATGCACATACAACTCATTGATCTTCATGTACATATACAAACACACGTACATACGAATACACCTACAAATGTATGGGTATCTGGATCATAAATTACATTTCACAAATTGCACGTACACTTATACACACGCATATACACATAAAAACACTCACACAGTGACCACAAGTATATTAATCCTATATCATAGAAATTTGACATGATCTTATGTGAATATTATCAGTCAGATAGACAAACAGTTAACTTTAATTACTGACATTTATAATCTCAGATTAATATGAATAACTATTGTAGTTAGTTAAAGAAATGTGAGTCTAAGATGAAATAAGCACCCTGGTGAGTTGGAGAGAGAGACGATCTGAAAAAAGAATTTTCAAATAATGAATTGTGAAATACAACTTCGGTGCTAATAATAATAATAATAATAATAATATATTAATAGACTAAACGAAGCAAAAATTTGTAAACATTGTAACAGTTGTTTCAATTTTTATTTTTACTTTTTTATACTCTTTTTGTGTGTATTAGAAATTCATTTATTTTCAACAACTTTAAAACATCAACTAGAAAAAGTGGATATTAAAAACAGTTTATGCAATAGAAAATGAATTGTAGTCATTTTCCAAATATTTTTTCTCAGCAAATTTATGTGAGGGTTTAATTTTGTATCCGTGTTGTGCAGAAGAGTTGTAATTCATATACATGATTCTGGTACTATCGCGTTCATTGAACTGGATCACATTATTTCAAGGCTTCCGTCGTTTTTCTATTACTGAAAGTATAATCAAACCATCCAACTCAAAAGATACAAAAACTGTTGTGGCGTAACCTCGTTCTTTATAATCTGAACTTTAACATTTAACCAGTCAATAATTTGAATGGTGACATCCTCGCGTCGTGACCTGATAGTCCATAGCTCCATCCCTTGCACACTGCTTAGGGGTGAACTAGTCTCTTTTGGTATCAAATATTGATCCAGCTGATGTTAATTCATAGCAAAGTCCTTTTTCTAAATATGAATTGGTTTATTTATATCCACCGACTAAAGTGTTCATATTTTATACAAATTAAACGTGCTTTGCCAAGCGAAGTTTATTTAAGATTAACTTCTAATACCTTTAATCAAATTAGTAAACCGTTTTGAAATTCCTTGCTAATCGCAGCTGCTACCATTGTAATAACATCAAGCAGTGTTTATCTCAGGCTTGAATTGTGTTTCCTTTCTTAAAATAAGGCTAGCAATGTGTATCGGGTGAACACGAGATACAGTGAGGTGAACAAATGAACAAATGGATGAGTGACATCTCTTATGAAATCATTCAATTTTTCTGATATATATATATGATGGAAATGTTTGTAGTCTTTTCTTTTTTAATATAGCGAAAATATTCATTCAGATATCTATAAAACACAAAATAATTGAGCAAAGAATGTCCTTTTCGATAAATTTCTCTTTTAGCTCTACAATTATATATATATGTTTATATACATAGAATATTCTAGATTAGTAGTCAATAACAATATTAGTGTTCATTTAAATAATATCGATTTGTAAAGTAAGATCAATGCAATTACAGTTCATTAAAGATGCTAAGATAACAATAATAATAATAAAGATATAGTAGTAAATAGAATGTCAACTAAAATTAGGAAAATTCCACAAAAATTCGGGACCGTTCGAACCTAGATGGCCAAGGTAAGGATAATGTCTGAACTAATTTCTTTTGGACGCACAAATTAGGCTTCTTAATATGGATCCCAACAGCAGCAGCAATATTTAGTAGTCGAACTCTTCAGGCGAATTGGTTACAGGATTTCATCATGAGCTGACATTGGTTAGAGAACCATTAGAAAACCTGGGAGTACTGGACAGCTGTTTCGTCCTAGTTTGGGGCTCTTCATCAGTACGCACCCACCGGGTTCGAACCCAGGACCTTCTGCTTATAAGGCAAGCTCGTAGACCATTAAGGCGAAATTGAGATTTGTTAGTATGCTGTAAATGACCCTGAAAGCCTGGTTAACATCAATCTTGTGTTCCCTATCCACAAGATGAGAGAGAATAGCTCTGCGAATAGATTTTGTTTGTCCTTTACTTAACCACACAGGGTGATGTTCGGAAATTTGACGAGAAACACGCCTAATTGTAAGACCTATGTAACTGGCTCCACAGGAGCAGTCAAATTGGTAGATACACATGGAAGAGGCAAATTTAGGCAGTTTGTCTAACTCCAGAACGCAAAAGAAGGGTGGTTTTGAAGACTCAGCGTAATTCGGCAGCAGGGGAATGCTGTTTTTACCGCATTTCTAAGGCAGTCTGTTAGTATCTCGCTGTTGCTTTCCCCAAGGAACTGCATTTGTAAGAATAATGTCTTTCTAGGAACTATTGGTACCTTGGGCTGCTTTGAGTTTAGATTCATATTCTTATCAATAAACTTTTCTGGATAACCATTTTCACTCAGCAACCGTGTAATATTATTAAGTTCTTCATCAATACATTCGTTCGTGCAGATTGCTCTTGCTATGTGAACCAAGCACTTTATCCGATTGCATTTGTATTTCAAGGGTATGAAGCTAAAAAATGAGTATACTGACTCGTTGATGTATTTCTTCTATATACACTTCTTCTTATTGTGCCATCCTCTTTTCTGGCCATAAGGACGTCTAGAAATGAAATACTAGAGTCATTTTCTTTCTCAATAGTTAAATTTATTCCAGGATGAACATCGTTAAATTTATTCAGGATTTTCTTTGCTTCCTTCTCATTTTTCTTAATCAAAAATGTATCATCCATGTATCGACAATAGAATTCAAGTTCATCCATAACATCCTTCAAAGGCCCATTTTCTAGTTTCGCAAGGAAAATGTCAGCGAGAATGGGTCCTAGTGGTGACCCCATTGCCACACCGCCGATTTGACTATACAGTACCTTATTAAATAAAAGTGTTCATTGTGCATTTCAAGAGTTCTTCTATAAAAGACATAGGAATGCCACCATCGATGTTTCGCCTTATGAGTTCTTCGCATACAAAGGTCACTGTTTCCATAAGTGGTAAATTGGTGAATAAGGAAAATACGTCAAATGATATCATGAATTTATCCTTTCAACAAATCCCAAAGTATCCTTTACACTGTGTTTCACCAACTCGGTATGAAGAGGCTGTGCGTCGGTGCCACAGCGGTTAGGACTCTCGCCGACCATGCACATGGTCCGGGGTTCGATCCCCTGCCGGCGCACACCTGTTATCAATGGTCGGCCTGCAAAATTTGGGCTATCGATATCACATGCTGAAAACTCCATACTTGTACCAAAAATACTGTATGGTTTCAAGCTATAATCAAAAATAAAAAATAAAAAAATAACCATTTGGCTACGAGATGGTATGGTGAATTTAACATATCTAATACTGGTCGAAGCGGTAAACCATTTCTGTGTACTTTAGGCAAGCCATATAATCTTGGTGTGAACGTTCCAGTGGCTTTAAGTGATGTATACTGACTCTGTGAGATAAAGCCTTGTTGTTTCAGTCTTCTCAATGTTTCTGTTAACTGTTTCTCTATCTTTTCAATCGGATCCAGAGAAGAGGAGATTCTTTTGAATTTCAGATTATCATTAAGAATAGTATTCAACTTCTCAAAGTAATCCGCTTTGTTTATGATAACCACTCCTGAGCCCTTATCCGGTCTTGTCAATATTATTTTATCATTTTTTTAAACCGATTCCTGCATATCAGACTGATTGATCAACGTGCAATTTTGCACAACAATGCATCAGCTAAAGATACTCAACTATGAAAGAGAATATGTATTCTTGATAATTTGTTAATTAAGCGTAAAACAGAATAAATTGCCATGCTTAAAAATTACGTATGACATTATGAAACAGTGCTGGAGTGTATTTTTTCACTGTTTATTTATTTATTTATTTGTTTCTTATCGTAAACCTTGAACACACTAAAATTACTATTAGTTGTAGTTTGAACACTAATTTCATACACTGTAATGCATTGTTTATTTTGAAGTGTTTACCTTTTTGACCTTATCTACTCTAATTATTCTTGGTTTGTTTTCTGATGCACTGTAGTTATAATTTGTCAACTTTTGTTAAAATAAATTGAGGGTGAAATGATGAATTTTGTGGATAACTTGTGCCATATGCTCTGATAACTTACAGATCCTGTTAAATATTTTCAAGTGAACACCTTGTTTGTCTTTAATACGGCTGACAGCATAATATGCATTGTTAGGTCATTCAAAAACATTAGAATAATTGTGTCCAAATCATAGTTCACTTACAGTCTCATGTCTTTGGAATGAATAAGCCACATATCTTATATCATTAGCCTTTAATTTTATTCTTTTTCTTGGGAGTGCTTTATCACGACAATAAACTACTAATACTCTGAATTTCAACAATAATAAGGAGAGAGCTAATAAGATTATCCAACTGGATAAGGTATATGCATTAGAATACTACCTTCACCTTGCAAATTATGCTGTCACACTGTTCACTAGGAACTAAGTGGAAAGATCTGAGTTACACAAAGAAGAAAGAGTAAGTTTCCTAATTGGAGATTCAGTTATTTTAAGAAATAGTGGCTGGTGTCTGTTGTTATATGTGGAGCAGATGGGCTTATACAATTTTTACTCTGAGTTCTATACTGACGTGTCGCTTATTCTGAGGGATTACATATCGAAATAAAATCGTTGTACATTTTGTGCTGCATATTAAAATTTATCTTACACAGTCCCAAAATTAATAAATCAGTCTTCTCTCTTTTTCTGACCTCACAATTTTGAAATATGGTATAAACAGTTTGTTAGGTAGCCTTAAGCTCTCCTCCTTTGTGTCTTTCATTCAACTGATTAGTTCACAAGGCATATATATCCATGAATTCTAGTTATTGGATATTTTACTCCTGTATTGCATTCATGCAGAATTTTCATTATTAATGTTAAATGGTTGCAGACAATAGACAGGGCTTTCTGCCTATTAACGTTAGTTCGAAATTTACACTGTGATGACAAGTCTCCTATGTTGCTGAAACCATTTGCAAACTGACTGATAGAATTCAGTCAACACTAACAACATGATGCTCATCACTCTTCAATGACCAGTCAAACATGATGTTCATTGTGTTCATTGATCAACATGTAAAGGAAACTATTAAAACTAGAATAGGCACTTTAAGCTGAATGGAAAAAATATACTGGCTGTTCTACAGAAAAAATGTTAGCCATGGATAATCATGAAATGTAGTTCAGTATCCTGAAATAAAAAAAAAATTATATTCCATATTAGTTTGTTTATTAGATGTATCACACAGTGAAACAGTATTATTTACTGGATGACGTTTCTTTTTTCTTAATGGTGCGTATATAACCAAGCACATTTTTACAATGTTTAGGTATTTTGTTAGTGTAATTTACAATGTAGAAAGTAATAACAATGATAATAATGTATTCAAAATGAGAGGATACATCTCTTTTAGATCACATGTACATGCATAACACTTATATTACTTGTGAAGTAGTATATTTATTATTATATACACTCTTATTAATGTTTAAATGGTTCATTTTATCAAATGATTATATTGTCAGCATGATGTCTGTATTCAGGTTAACTACCGATCCATTTATACTCCTTTGTTGGTCTTTTTTACTTATTACAGTGTTGATGTGTATAGTTACGGGAGGAAATCGCCTAATTTTTTTCTGTAGAATTCTAACTAATAGTATTCCAGAGGATTGGGAATATTTTAAATAAGATAGGAACGGACATGAAGATTACTATGAATTTATTTGAGTCAGAGTTAAACTGATTAGTTAGAGCTGTCAACTTTCCCGGCAGATGCGCTCTGCTTTGTGCGTCGGTGGCACAATGGTAGAACACTCACCAACCACGCATGTGGTTCGGGATTCAATCCCCGGCCAACTCATTCCTTTACCTCGTTAAACCAGTAATAAGACTGGTAAAGAGGGAAGGCTGGACATGAGGCTAGCAACACTATTCCATAAAAATAAACACCACTGCCACTGGAACTTCAAGCCTTTAGCTTGAATTCCCATGTTCAACTGGGAACGTAAAGGAATTTTAAGAAAAATCAACTGTCAAGGCCTGTCTAGTGATCTTAGATGCAGGCAGTTAGCTAGCATTACTTCTGATGCCTCACAACACTCATGGATGAAGATACAATAAATGTTATGAGTATGTATTGAAATCTCCTTACGGAGATACTTTTTTATTAATAATTAGACTGTTTCTGTTTGTGAAATTGTCATGACTATTGATAATAATACTGAGGCTTAGGTTCAATACTCAAATACGACAAGCAGCTCTACTAAAAACCGGGTACAACTGTACTTCCTCAATATCTTCTTCTGACCATAACCACGGAAAAATCAGAAGACAAGACTAGTCTGTGTCGCTGAGATCACCAGCTTTATTGGACAAATAATACATCATTATATATTTTTGTGCATTACCAACAAATAATTTGGTTGGTTGTTTAAGGTGGAGAGGTGATATAAGTATAAAACTTGGGCACTGTGGTAGAGTATAACTCCATTATAGATAAAATTTTATTTTGATATATATATATATATACATATATAAATGAAGTAAAAAGTTTTGTGAGTGACTTGATATGATTATGAGCAATAATTTATGCTCGAAACGTCATCAGTTAATATTACTGTACAACACCGTGTGATCTATCAAAATAAAATCTTATTTAAGGTTGTACAATCACATTACTAAAAAAGCCCAATAGCTAAACTGTCGATTCTGATTTGAACCGGCTTATAATTGCTTTTAGCCACTTTCTGTTGTTTTCATTTTTTACTAGTACTGCCTCCATAAATTTATTTTTTAAAATCCTATCAGATGGACATTTGAGTTGTTATTCACTTTTCGGTTTCATATACTTCTATTCTACACTGTCTGTTTTATTCCTATTATTTTTCTTCTCTTTTGTTTTGTTTTACATAATTCTTATGTAGTAATTATTTGCTTTGTTCAACATACTTTTTCATTATTTCTTTTATTTACGAATATTCTTTCTCCTAGAAGTACCATTTCATCAAATTTGATGTACATATAAATACTGTATTCTGTAAAACAAACTGTCTTTTGTCTTTTAAGCTGTTCTCAATATTTTTTAATATTCGGCACTTACACTAAATTAATTTTCTCTGAAATTTTGAATTTGATGTGTATCCTGTTTTACAAAAGCTGTTCTCAACTCACTGTAAAAACTTCTTAAATTTTGAAAAGATTTCAACCTTATTTTCTTATCAAGTAAACAGAACTTTTTGACATTTTAATCGGCATGCCAACATCATTTATCAAGTATATTGATTAGCATCTATGTGATTCTTTAAATGTAAATTACTGGTTTTTCTGTCACTAGCATTAACTATCATACGAATAAAATGGAGGGTTATTTTGCTAATTGAATACGACTTTCAATGAAAGCGAGGTTATTTACATGAGTCCTTGTCTGGTTGATGACACCTAGCAGTGGAGTACAATAAGCACACCTCGTCTTATTTAGGACTCGTCACCTGGATGTACTTGCATTCACATCAAGATCTTTGAGTGCTGGTTTACTGGAATTTAATTGAATTGACAAACTGATACCAGTTAGAAAACCATTGAAAGCCAGGGAATACTGAAGAGATGTTTCATCCTAGTTTGGGAATCTGCAGTAGTACGAAGAAAATAACCTCAATGGCGGATGAACCCAAGGTTTCCAGGTTACTAGGTCATTTTGCTGACCACCAGGGGAGAATGCAATTACTGGGCCATAACCTGCAATTCCTGTCAGTTCACGATATTTAGCTCCCAGATAATGTCATCGATGATTACTTGTCCCATACCCGACTTGATGAAATCCCCTCGCCCAACGTCTCAATGGAACTCCAGACACCTCCATCTAACTGATACCACCTCAGTGTCTAATTAGAGACTAACCAAATCCCCATAAACCTAAGCTTAAAATTAATCTAATTCTCAATATTGACCTAATAAAGGATGAATATGTCTAGAGTCCAGGTGAGACGTCATAATTAATGGGTTCAACCAAGTTGGGTGTGCAATAAATACTTGCTGATGACATTGGTTGACGGCGATGATATACATGGCGAATTGACAAAAGTTAGAATCCGTGGCCCGATGACTAGATTCCGTTCCAGCTGCCGAACAGTCAACGTGATTGCCTTGTGACCTGAAGGTCTTGTATCCTATTTATGGAGAGGTTGTGGGTTCGTACTGATAAAGAATGTCAGACTGTCCAGTACATTTTGGTTTTCGATGGTTCTCTAACTGGTGTCATTTCATGATCAAACTACTAATCATCTGTTTGATATTCTTACATTTTAATAATTTTGGGTATGTATGGAGGTGGGTAATGCTGGCTATATTTAGAAAAAACGCCACAAACTAATACTTATCTAAAATCTTAAATTTCATCGCAATACCATAATCAATTCCCCTATGTACCCTTTTTCTCCTCCTGATATAAGTCTTATCCATCTACGATTACCTATTTCGTCTTTTTCTTAGCGTGTTGTGCAGGATAAAAGAAGCCTGAAATAGTTCACTTCTGTGACTTCTGTAATTTTATGATATCAACCCTGTCAACATGCATTCCAGTCTTTGAATACAAAATAAGCCATGGACAGTTATCTTTCTGAAGGTATTTTATTTTCTAATTTACTTACTATGCAATATAGACGGGGACGACTTAATTTCGGCATGGATTGATGAAGTAAAAAAATATCATACGACAAATTACTAAGCGACTTCTTTTTCAACATATCTAATCTTCTGCATAGTTTCTGGTTGACTGAAACTCATCGTGGTGTTCTAAAGTGTAGACACAAAGAGACTCACAAACGTTAAACATGTTGGATGTCATCGAGATGTTAAGATTTAGTGGTTAGACATTATTGGTGTGATGGCTTAGTGGTTATTCTTAGTGATGCAGATGTATTCAATCTTTATCGTCTTCAAGATTCTAAAACTCACCCAGTAAACTTCATCCTAGCAACTTTCTTCCAGTACATTTTTTCTCAAAGTAGTTTTATTGTATTTCTCTTCTCTATCTTAATTTGTGCTTTATGAAGTGTAGCACTTTGAACTGATTCGCTTTTGTGCGACGTCTTACGTTAATAGTACATTTTAGTTTAGATGTTGTGAAGTACTATATAGTTAGCTTATACTATAGGAATCACTGTCGATCATATTAGAGATAATGAGCTCATTTTATCTCCTTTTCCAAACACTTAATCTCTTTATATTACACATCTGTTTCTTTTCATTCCTGTCATCAAATAACTTTCTAACTAGCTTTATCTCTAACTATGCCTCACAACTGTATGAACTTTTAGCATATTTTTCTTCGAATTAACTTTTAGAATGGTTTCACTCCTCTGTATATGGCTGCTCAAGAGAATCATTTAGAAGTAGTACGTCTTCTACTGGCTAATGGTGCTAATCCTGGTCTAACAACTGATGATGGTTTCACTCCACTGGCTGTAGCCCTGCAACAAGGCCATGATCGTGTTGTAGCACTTCTGTTGGAAAGTGACTCTCGTGGGAAAATATGTCTGCCAGCTTTGCATATCGCATCGAAGAAAGATGATATTAAAGCAGCTAATTTATTATTGAATAGTGATGTGAATGTAGACCATCAGTCAGCTGTAAGTCTTTTTGTTTTGTATACATGTAATGCGTCACCACTTTGTTCACTTCTATTGTTATCCTACTGATTATGGATATAAGTAGCTGGCTATCACTTATACTGTTGAAAATTGGTATCGCTTCATCATGAGATTATAAGATATAATGAAATTCAAGGAATCCAAAAGGATTTGTTTTATATCATATTAGAATATGTAGGATAAAGTTGTCTACCACCTAATCATGCTATCAACAGACGTCGCGGGTGCAATCTATCGGTGGAAAAGTTTCTTCTTAGGTTGTTCTAAAATTCCGTACTGATAATGCGGTACGCTGTCTAATGTGAGCCAAATGATAAGAGACGAATGTGGTGTCTAAAAGTGGCATGAATGAGATCGTGTAAACAGGAAATGAGAACTTATGAACAGTCGTTGAGCCAGCTAAATAACATATCAGGGAACAGGATGAAATGACGATATGCTGCTAAAGCCCTATATTACAAATAAAGGATAATTATATTTCAATACTTTACACACAATGATAAGTTTTGTTCTTGGTAATATTTCGAGCAAAATTACTGTGGAACAAAACAATTCCAACAGTGGTGTGAACATGGGCATTAATTTTTTCTTGAAATATTACCAAGAACAAAACTTATGGTATGTAAACTATTGAAATTTAATTTGATCTATTCCCCACAATGCTCAAAGTTTTTACTGACATTAACCCTATATTACACTTGGAACTCGAGGGATGAATAATGATATACTAATATTTTCTGACAAAATTAGCCATGTGTACCGTCCTCAAACGTGAAATTATGGAGTAACAAAGAAATTATGTGAAGATAACACTTATGCTATTTTTTGTGCCAATTATAAGTTGTCTGTTATTGCTTAAAGCATGAGCAATTTACGTCAGCATTGAAATTCTAGTCAACTCTAATGTCAACAATATTATGATTTAAAATTGGTTCACATCTATGAGTAGAATACCTGTATTGACAAAATTAACATTTTTTGAAGAGTACAAGTAATTGCAAGATACTGAATCCAACTCAAATTATCTCTACAGACTATATATTTACAGTAGTAAAATTAATTTCTAATATAAAATATAGAAGTCTATCACATTTGTAAATATAAAATTATACGAAACCTGTCTCACTCTCAATGAATTTAAGTTATTTTCCTGTTTATGGCTCAAAACCTGTAATCATCCGATTACTAATAATTTCAGTATTTATAGTGATATTATAATATTCATATATATTGTGATAATCCTTTCGCTCAAAGTATCATCATGTTGTGATTACACCAAAAGGATATTTAATATATATATATATATATATAGTGCCTTTATATTCTGCTGACTTTACACATAATTCATCAGTAGGTATTGTCAATACTCTAAAACAGTAGTTCAAACATAAATGTTTTTGATGCCCAGTATAACATCTTGAGTGAAATGATGCATTCTCCAATTCATGGAGGTAATTTCTGTTATTTTTAAAATAAGTAAAAACTTTCAAGACCTCGTTTATCGATATTCTGTCCAATTGTCTAACCTGCTGTGCACTTTCTTAGTACTTAGTTTTGATGATCACTTGGAAATTCAGTTTATCGAGTGGTTAAATAGTATTATGTTCTGCCTAAAACCTGATGGTCTTGTGGTAGATAAACCCCACTCCCACCTTCAAGAATGTGGGTGCCTATTCTTGAAGAGTCTTACAGATCAAGAAGAATGCTACCTGCCACCCTTTGCTATTCATAATATCCTTAGTATGTTTATATTCCTCCCGGAATCTACCGGGATGAAATTCCTATTCATCAAGTCGAAATCACTGGGAATCGAAATGAAATAAGAGTCTATAAGTGTCTTGTTCATATATGTTATGAGTGTGTCAAAACAATTTCAGCATAAAGTATGACTGAATAGGAATTTCTGGGATCTAAATGGTTCTGTTCAAAGAGCTGTGGCTTATACACCAAAATGTTTAGGATAATCTTGTTTTGATGCAGTAAACACACTTGGATTATGTTCAATAAATTTCAATAATAAAATGAATGTTAACTTATTATGATCGTAAATAGCCTTCTGTGTTTATAAATACGCCTACCATTGTTATTTCTGTTTACAGAGTGGGTTCACTCCACTTCATATAGCTGCGCATTATGGTAATGTGAATATGACTGAACTGCTTATATCGCGTGGTGCGAATATTAATTTTCAAGCCAAGGTGAGTAAATTGTCATACAGCGCATAACGAATTTGATGGGTATGTTTTGTGATTACATAAAAAATATTTCTAGTGTTATTAGTTAGTTTTAGATAACAAGCGGAATATGTGTTTCACTGGTTCAGTTGGTTAAAATGATCACCAGCTACACACATGGTCCCGGGATTCGACTCACTGTCGACGCCCTTCTAAACCTCACATAGTTTATTAGGTGGTAATAAGCCTGGAAAATACGAGAAGGCTGAGAGTGAAGCTAGCAACCTCACTGAGTAGAAACCACAGCACCAAAACTGCTGAAACATCCAAGCTGGAAGTTCTATTTTTCACTCGAAAAGCAGATAATGGAAAGAAAGTAGGATGTAAGAGGAAATCAGTTTTACAATTTCTATTTGAAACTTCTTATTTTATTATACCTTCTTTTCTAATGGTTGCGAAACTCTCTTTTATTGAAGCTTATTGAAGCTAACGGTCATTGCTTATTGTGACACAACTGATCAGTCAAATTTTGATTACAGTATGTACAATCTTCATTCATGTCACATCTTAAGATGGGACACATTAGATGGATAACCTAAGGGTTTTTAATTTTACTTTCATCGCTAGCAAAACCATCGTTGTCAGCTTAGCAGCGTATTTTACTGATAAATCTCAAGTAAAGGCCTATTCTATAGTAATAATTTGTTATAACAAAAATGAGTAACATAATTTATAGATAAATCGTATGGAGCAGCCATAGCACGAAACGCACCAATCAGTTACTGAGAGAAACAGTATATGTATTAAATAATGGCGAATAAATAATTTTTTAGTCAAAAATGTCCATGATTATCGATGTGTATTAGTGTTGTTCACTGACTGAAACACTAGGGACTACACTTTTATTCAGCACTTTAATTTAAAACAAAGTTGCAACTATTTTATGCACAGTTATTTCAGCTGCATTACTTAAGTGAAAGCTAATTTGACAATTTATGACTTCATGGAAAGCCTCCGATATTTTCTTCTGAAGATGGACTATTATTTGTTTTCAGGGGTTCTACTGGGAAGCCGTGACCAGTAGGGTGCAACAGGTTGAAGGCGAAGCAGTAACTCATTGAAGAAGACATTGCGAAGTGGTCGCGCTATGTCATGAATTGACAGAAGTTAGAATTCATGGGTCATTAAATCGGGTCCCAGAGGCTTAATGGTCTACGAGCTCGCCTTTTAACCAGGAGGTCCTGAGTTCGAGCCCCGGTGGGTGGGTACTGATGAAGAATCCCAAACTGGGACGAAACAGCTATCCAGTACTCCCAGATGGTTTTCCAATGGTTCTCTAACTGATGTCAGCTCATGATGAAATCCTCCAAACAAACAAGTTTATGTCCATGTTGTCCTAACCAATATACATAAACAAATCTATCACTTTTTTACTTGTATTGTGTTGAGTTATACGCAGCTTATACTTACCTGTCATCATCATAAATACGCTGTGACAGTAGAATTAGAAGTAGGTTAAGAGAAATTTCAGGTTGATGTGGATCCATGAAATCACCAATTGTTTCTCTCAGCTATACATTATGATGTAATCTGCATGATTGCGGTATGCTTTTCTATAGGAACTTGTAATTAGAGACTATGTGTAACGTGATTCAAAATTGGCGATCGATACGCAGATCCATTCACACCCTACTTTTGTCTTGATTGTAATTTCACATTTTTTTTCTTCTTGTTCTCTTACTGTTCTCTCAAATTTAAAGTTTATTATTTATTCTTTGGTTCTTTCTACATTGTACGATGTGGCAGCTTGGGCCGCTACCTCTATAGCGCCTATCATTTGGTTTATTATGCACTAAATAGTGAGGTACAGCTATTTCATGTGTACTTAGTGATGCTGCTTGACCGTCTGCTATTTCATTAGGTGAATTTCTACCACCTTGATAAATGGGTGTACACAATCTTCATCAGTACATGTAAAGCCTAAAATCTTAACAGCTGTACAGTTTCGTTATTAACTGGGACTTTTGCGAACGAATTAATGCTGGGTAGTGTCAGCAATATCCAGAAGGACAATTAATCTGTTTTGCTTAATAATGCAAAAATATATTTTATTTTCTCATATAACAACAAATTTCACCCACAAACAAACTAAGTTTTTCACATGGGAGTTAAACAGTGTTCAAATATAGGAGATCTTCAGCAGAAATATTCGTATATTTTAATGCATTTTTTATTCCCGTGAAAAATGAGACACCACATGAAATTGTAAAGTTCTGTTTAATTACTCCAACTGTCCTTTGACCTTTTGAATTTTAATATCATTAAAATTATGAGCTATCAAATGTTGGTTCGTAGGGATGAAACAGTTGTCCGGTGCTCCCCGGTTTTCACACCATATGAGCTCGTTTCCGACATGGTTCGTTTTTAGTTGTGTCAAACTGTAACCATAGTTTGGTTGCATCTCAGTGCTACAAAGATATTCTGTGATATCCTCAGCAGCTTTCCTTTCTTTTTCTCCATTTTCACATTAATCTTTTCTTACTTCTTATTCCTTTGCGTTTCAAGTAGATTTTAAAAGGCTTCAAGTTTTAAACCTTGAAGTTTCAGTAGCGCTTGTGTTATTTTTATAGTGTGGAATTGCTAACCTCACACTTAACCTGCCATCCTTTCCAGGCTTACTACCATCTAGGTGAGGTATAGGAGTGCTTTGGCCAAGAATCGAACCTCTCACCACGTGCGAAGCTGACTGGCATTCTACCCCTGAGGTAACGACGCACAGTTTGCTTATAGTAGTATATCTATATATTTTCTAATTTTCTTTGTTGTCTCATCGTGTATGCCCTTCTGCAAGAGGTTTTACTGTGAACTTTAATGAAGTACCTAACAGTATATATAATATTACTTATTTAGGGTCAGTTTTTCTTAGTTGTTGTAATTAAGTTCATTCTCAAGAAATATTATTATTCCTTTGTTTATAAGAATAATAACTATGAAGTTTTTTATGAGCACTGAAAGACTATGTTTGGCGAATGCGATACCCTTCACTTAGTTTCTATTTCGCCTAAAGTCTGATCAGAAACTGCTAACCTAGAATAAGTCCTTTTCAATCTCCACCCATCATTGTCACTGACATATTGTGATGAAAAGTTATCTGTTCAAAACCTTAGGATAATTCACCAGCACTTCTAAGTAGTTGAAATAAACCTTCAGAGATTTCTTTTCGTTGATAATTATTGTCTACGAATAACAAAATAGAAACATGTTCAGAGTAGATATACTGTTGAATTATTTAAATACTTGATAGAGCGAATTATTTATTTTCATCATATTCTAGGGCTTAGTAGTGAAATTTTAGACATACTTTTCGTCATTTTTAGGATGTACCTGCTTACTAGTAAGTTATAGCATTCTCACTGAGACTTGAACTCAGTGTTTATCGTTTTAAATGACACATACTTATTTAGTCGCCTAGTCAGACATAATAACCAACCCTTTCTTGAAGCATATCATTTTTTATTGTCAATACTAGAAATGAACTTGCGTCGTTTTATTGAAAAGAAGCTTTGTGGTCATTTCGTGCTTCAACTGGATGCTGTTCATTAAATGGTGGTTAACTGTGCAGCTTGAGACAGTTACATAGTTCTGTTTCGGAAGCGTTATCCGATCCGAAGTTAGTAGTATTGTAACGGGAGTAGACAAGAGACTTGGTAAGAGAATGCTAATTAGAAATTTGACGTACACATAGGGAACTTATGCATACTCCATATTGAAATCATCAGTTGTGCAGATCTTCGGTGTTTTGCTACTTCTGCCTTTCGTATTGTGTTTCTTTGTCTTCTTTTCGTGCCTCCTATATTTTCCCTCAATACTCGTTCATTTTATCTTTTTTACTTCAAATCTACCTCTCCGCCATTTCATATTTTTGAGCTGATCAACGTCACTTTATATACTACTGGCAAACCTTGTCAGTAGTGCACTCCACAACATCAAGTTTACACTCAAGATAGTAGTTCAGGCCTTATGTCAATAAAGGTTGGCCAATTCAACAAAATCCATGACACAAAACTATCAGTATATACGAATAAGATCTTGGTATTTTTTACTTTCTCAAGACTTTTTAGTAACTGTCAGATCATATTATTTTCCTCGAGAATTTTCTTCCAATGAAAGACTCACGTGAAAATCGTGCTTTGTAAAAATGCCCCGTAACATACTTGTTAACTGTAATCTGACTATTATAACTACAGTTAATTTTGCTAGATCTTTTCATTTGTCTGCTTTTGTTTTAGAATAATATTACTCCATTGCATGTAGCATCAAAATGGGGTAATCAAGGTGTGGCTGAACGTCTGATCACAGCCGGTGCAGAGCTTGACTGTCGTACGCGTGATGGATTGACACCTTTACACTGTGCTGCTAGGTCGGGACATGATACTGTTGTTCAATTACTGTTAAGTGCTGGAGCTAATTTATCTGCAAAAACAAGGGTATGATAAAGTTTATATTTCTCTTGTTTGTCTCTAGTTTTTTGATTTTTCTATTCATCATGAATTTGTGCATGAAAACCAATGGACGACAAGTCTTCTGGATATAGCTCAAATTCGTTTCATATATATTCATTCTTTTCTGTAGTCTTCCAAATTCTGGAAATCTTCACCAAACTTCCTTCATTTCTTCTCTCCGTTGCATCTATGTTTGTTTATCGTAATTGCCTGTTTCTAATTCCTTCTTTCGTGTGCTTTCTGGAAGCGTAACAACTTGTGATAATGCCTCTTTGTGCAAAGCACCAAGTTCTTCCCTCTGATAGTCATTAAATTCCTAGACTCTTGCTTCTCTCCGTTTGAGAGTTGTTAGCTGGATAAAATAAATTCCAGTGAATAATGATGCTTCCACTGAAATTCAAACTCACCACTCATCCTTTCAGAAGATAAAGTGTTATCTACCAGGCTACTGAGCCAAGAGATCTGCCTCTTGAGAAATGGCTGTCATTTTTATCTGTTCGTTTCAGTCTTGTATAAATGTACCAATTTTGGCAAATATTTAGTTTATCCTCAGTCTTTCTCTGAGAATCAGAATTCGTCTTTGGTGAATGATAGATGAATGTGGAAAAATCGCAATTCGAACAGCATTTTGTAAGTAACGTGTTTGAAGCTGATAATGAGAAAGTCATTTTCGACCCAAATTGTGTGCTTCTTCACTATCAGCAACGAAGGGTACCTATAACACTGTAGAAATTCAGGGTTTAACAATCGAACATTCATAGGTCTGTATCACTAGCCTTTTCATATGACGAATGAAAACCTATTCGTCCGGATACTGAAGCCAAATTTGTTACCAGACAGTCTTCAATCCACTATTTAGTAAAAGAATAAAATCAGGGTATGGAAGTACTACGTACTTCAGCTTCTTTTCCACCGTGAACATCCTACAGATAGATTTCCGTCGACATACTAGGGATTAGATAACTACGTTGATTACAACCCGATAGGCAATTCATTTGCATTTTTCACCACTCTCAGCAACTGAATTCATCTGAATGTTACTATCTTATTGTCAAAAGTTTCTTCGTAAACAATTTATTTCAAATCACTTTCGTACCTTAAACAACGAGATTATGAACACTTTTAGTCTTTCAAAAATAAAATCAATTTGAATTTCATATCAAACTGGTCTTAAGATTAACTAATTTTCAGATCATTTCATTTCTCATTAGAATTTAGTTATCAAGCACCATTGATCAGTTTAAATATACTTAGCTATATATATGTATATATATATATATGTCACCCTCAGACCCAGGTCTAGCTTGTGGTATCCCATTTGGGTTCCACTTGAGTGCTTAGTGCGTAATGTCACTAGGGGAGATTAACTGCTCTACTAATCTCTTCATTTTATTAAGTAATACGGAGCCATAAGTCAGTGGCTAGGTCGGTCAATTATAATGTATTGAGTCCCATCAGTTTCAATCTATTTCACCATATCTATTTCATTTAAATAGATAATCAGTCCCATAAGATAATTTTTATGTTTACTTCGGCGTAAGTTTAGCACTAATCTTGTAAAGCAAGGCACGGAAGCCGAGGTATATTTTCAAGTTATAAAACCGCTATATATATATATATATATATATATATATATTCGTTAACCAATCACTGAGCATGTGATTTTGGTTTACATTAAACGACATGAAATAGAGTGTTCAAATATATATAGTGTTCTGTTGCCAATGCAGTATTGAAGTGTAGGAATAGTATTCAAACGTTAACATTAACAAATGCAATGAGAATAATATCACGTTGGAACCCACTGTCTATTTCACACCACCACAATATAGCACAAACCTTTTTTAAATATGAAGAGTCTATTGCCTAGATAAACACATAAAAATAAGCTTAAATTTGAAATGAGAAGTGACTCAACTGTCAGAAAATAAAATTAATCAGTTATTTTCAGTATTTTTGCGTGATCTGAACTGCACATTTCAACTGTTGCGCTTTTAAGTCTGTTCATGGATTGATATTAGCATGAGAACAGTCGAAAACAAGGAAGTATTGGACAACTGTTTTGTCTCAGTGTGAGACTCTTTGGCTGTACGCATCCATCACCCACAAAAGATTGGACCTGGTACCTTCTGATTACAAAGTGAGATCTCCAACCATTCAGCTACTGGGATGCAGTCCAATCACCGGTGCAGGAATTCCAACTTCTGTCATTTCGTGATTTTAATCTCGACAGCCGGCCAATATCATCGACAAGTATTTATCCTCACGCCCGACCTATTAAACCCCACTTTTCCCTACCTTTCACCAGAACCCATCCTGTAGTCAGTCACTAGTGGGCTTCAGATTAATTTTTGGGTGTTAGTTTGTAGGCATTTGATCGGTTTGAAGTTTGATCAGAGATTGATATCAGTTAGAGAATCATCGAAAACCGGGGAGTTGTAAGTTTGTAGGGGCAATAACAAAAACACTAAGCAGGTGCATATCGCTCCAAGTTGCTGAAACTTTCAAAACAGTACAAAGAACTTAGAAGAGTACTATAACTCATGAACATCATTATAAGAGGCGCGAGAATAATTAAATGAGGTTAGCTAAAAAACCCAAATATTCGAAAATGGTGAAGGATTAATTTATCACTATATTATGAGGACTTTTGCAACAAGTCATTAAAGGTTTCCACGCATTGATTTCTAGCATCTTAACGATCCAAGTCAAACAGCCGGCACCTTCCTACATCACTCAGGCTAATATTTAGTTATGGATTAGTGCAGTGTTTCAGTCAAACCACGCTTCAAGTTTTTCAATCTAGACCAACTTGAACTAACATGACTAGCTATTGTTACAAACTTACAAAACTAAGGTATCAGTGTTTTGGGTGGCTATACACTCGGTGGTTGTATGATCAACGGGCTCACCTGATAACCTGAAAGAAGCTGGATTCCCTCCCTAGTGGATATACACTGCTGAGCAGTATCAAACTAGGATGAAATAGTTGTCTTTGACGTATGTTGGTTCGTGATGAAACTGATTACAGTTCCTACAAATCCAAAAAATGATCTTTTAGCTATAACTGGTGATGAAATCATTAATATTTACTAATACCTTTTTTAGAAATGTCATCTATAATGATTTGTCTTTTTTCATTATTTCCATTATTTACTTTAGCAATATTCACTTTAATGACAATCACTATTATATTTACTTTTAATTACTTGTCCTACTAACTGAATTTTAATACTACATACACACACAGCTTTTCACCTTTTATAAGGTTCCCTGCATATATATGTAAATGATTGGAAGTGATAAAATATGTTATACCTATCTTCATATCTTGTCATTTCAGTTTTTTAAAAGCGTAATAGAAACAAAATACAAAACTAAAACAGTTTACTGTGTTCCTTTGTTTTATAGAGTGGTTTAAATTCACTACATATGGCAGCTCAAGGTGATCATATTGATGCAGCTCGTTTACTTTTACAAAATGGTGCACAACCAGATGACCCAACTATTGATTATTTAACTGCATTACATGTGGCTGCACACTGTGGTAATGTACGTGTAGCCAAACTGCTACTTGAACGTGGATGCGATGTGAATGCTAGGGCATTGGTAGGTTGTTATTATTATTACTTTATTAAAATTATAAACAATATTTTTATTTAAACGATTATGATCATTTAACCCATATGGTTTGTATTTAGATTGTTTTTAAATCTATTTAATCTCATTCATTATTTAAGATGATATATGACTGAATTCATTGTTTTAGGTAAATGAGGGCTGTAAAATAAATAGGTGGTACGGAAAAAATCTAATTCATAGTGTTTTAACTATATTTGGTGTTAGATGTAGATAGGTGCTTGTTTAAAATTATCAGTTAACTATGTCTAAAATCTTCAGAACAGCCAAGTATCTTTCGTATCGACTGATTTTTAACAGCTAACAAATTTTACTGTATAACAGGGTGTCATATTGCTTACTGTTCATAGTACACATTCCTTCTAGATGCATCTTAATCAACACAACTGCATTAGTTATCATGTGTTCCCTGATCCGCATAGTGTTGTTATATTTGAGCTAATCCAGTTATAATTACAAAAAAGACATGGTTTTTTCAGTTTGTACATAAACAAATAACATGGGAAATTCAAAATGTTTAACTGGATATTTTCGAGCAAACGTATGTGCCTTGTTTATAAGAGTTTCTAATTGCTTGCGGTGATTGTGACACTCAGACTAGAATAAATTACCAACACATTTATTCTAGTTTCCTCTGTTCACTATCACGGGCTTGCTGGCGTGGACATCAAGGTAGGATTATTAGCCCTCACACAACTGGTGTAGCTCACTTCCAGGTGTGCCTTGAAGTGCAAATTGTTGTCGAATAACATCTTACTTCATTCTTCATACTAAGGCTTTCACATTAAGTTATGCCCGTTTCGACAGGATAAGTGATGTAGCACATTTTTACCCTAATTTTTATTGATAGCACAAACTCAAAAGTCGTGATCTAACAGCAGAAGTAGTAATATTTATTTTAACTAGTCAACTGTCCACTAGATATTTCACAGGCCTTATGAGTAAATGACACTTAAGATAGCTAAATAAGTACCATAGTTTCGCTCAGGGGTAATTAAGAATACAAATAATTGAAAATAAATCCTCCCATTCACTACTGAATACATATTCTGATTAGCTCAGTCCTGGCTGCCATCTTGTTACAGAAAATGTGACAAAATATTACTCCAAGACAAGAAGCTCTGTAAAATCAAACTGCTCGCGTATTAACACTAATCAGCAGAAAGAACTCACTTTCCGCCAGGAGTTCATATCTGTATCACTCAGTGTTGGCGGTAAAAATCACACCTACAAGCAATTCGTATTGTCCGTCTGTGGTTCAGTGGCAGGATGTCTCGGTTTGACTCCCGACCGACGCATTCCTAAACCTTGCTCAGCCTGTAGTAAACCCTATAAGGACGGAAGGTTGGGCGTGAGACTGGCAACCCTATCCCGTAAAAATAACATCGCTAACACTTAAAGTGTCAATTATACAATGCTATGCACCGACAAACAACGCAGACCTCGAAAAGAAAGAAGAATTCTACAGACAACTACAGGCAACAATGGACAATACTCCAGCTGGTGACATCAAAATACTAATGGGAGACATGAAAGCCAAACTGGGATCAGACAAAACAGGAAGGGAACTCATCATGGGTAGAGAAGCTCTCGGAGAAATGAATGAAAACGGAGAACTCTTCGCCGACTTCTGTGCCTTCAATGAACTAGTGATTGGTGGCAGCGTATATAAACACAAGGATATCCACAAGGCTACATGGGTGTCACCAGACGGGCGAACCAAAAACCAAATCGACTTCATCTCAATCTCAAGGAAATGGAGGCGCAGCCTACTGGACACAGAAGTGAGAAGAGGAGCAGACGTTGGCTCAGACCACTATCTCGTACAAGGGACAATCCAAATCAAATTAAAAGCTTTCAGAGAATCAGGGGCTGCAGATAGACCACAAGCCAAGTTCAACACTCAAAAACTGAAGGACGAGGACACAAAGGACATCTTCACTGCAAGTATAAAAGACAAAGCCGAGACACAAATCAACACTGGCGAAGAGGTCAGCGTCGAAAAACACTGGAACAACTTGAACACAGTGTGGAGCCAAACCTGCATGGAAGTTCTAGGCAGAAGGAAGAGACAGGACAAACAGTGGCTCACTACGGACACTTGGAGACTGATAGAAGAGAGAGGGATGGTGAAACAAAAGATAATCCAGTGCACCGACGAGCAACAAAAACAAGATTTGAATGCGAGCTACAAGACACTGAAGAAAAGAGTGAAGAAGACTGCCAGGGAAGACAAAAGACAATATTATGAAGCCATGGCAAGTGAAGCAGAACAAGCTGCAGGCAAAGGAGACCTCGCAACACTCTACCAAACAACTAGGTACCTATCGGGCAAACGTTTGACACAAATCAAGCCAGTGAAAGATGACAACGGAAAGACACTCACCAAAGAAGTGGAGCAAAGGAAACACTGGACTGAACACTTCAAAAGACTCCGAAATCGACCACCACCTACAACGCACCCAACGATACCAACAACGGAGACAGAGCTACCAGTGAACACCGACCCCCCGACGAGAACAGAAATCCTGAAGGCAATCAAGATGCTAAAAACTGGAAAAGAAGCAGGACCAGATGGAATCCCAGCAGAAGCATTGAAAATGGACCCCGAGACATCAGTGAACTTGATGACACCACTACTGGAGAAGGTGTGGAAAGAGGACAAGGTACCTGCGGATTGGAAGAAGGGATACTTATTCAAACTACCAAAGAAAGGATACCTAAGTCAATGCAAGAACTGGCGCGGAATTATGCTTCTGTCTATCCCAAGCGAAATATTAAACCGTATTATCCTGGAGAGAATCAAACACACCCTGGGTGAAAAACTTCGACCGGAACAGGCTGGATTCAGGAGAAACAAGTCATGCATTGATCAGATCGCCACATTACGGATCATCATTGAACAAAGCCTGGAATGGCAGTCACCTCTCTACCTCAACTTCATCGACTTTGAAAAGGCCTTTGACAGCGTCGATCGAGAGGTGATTTGGAAACTACTTCGCTACTACGGTGTGCCACCGACAATTATACATCTCATCCAACAGCTGTACGACAATGCTGCATGCCAAGTAATCCACAACGGGAAACTTATGGAACCCTTCGAAGTAAGGACAGGAGTAAGACAAGGCTGGCTGCCTACTATCTGCAATGATTTTCCTGATTGCGACAGACAAACAGCGGGCAACGAGAAGACAGGTATAAAATGGACCCACACAAAAAACTTGGAGGATCTGGACTTCGCCGATGATATATGTCTGATTTCCGACAAACTAGAAGATATGCAAGGGATGAAAAGCAACAAGTTGGCAGAAGAAGCATCGAAGAAAGATATGAATTCAGGTGAACATAGAGAAAACAGTGGCGGTGATGAAGACTCCAGGCCAACAGCAACAGCAGCAACAATAACAACAGACAACAATCAGCACAAATGGGAGAAATCTGAAAGAAGCAGCCTCCTTTACCTACCTGGGAAGCATCGTTTCAACTACAGGCGGACGGAACTGATGAGGATATCAAGGCGAGGATTGGGAAAGCAAGACAAGCTTTCACTACTCTCAAGTCTGTGTGGAGGTCAACAGCACTCAGAATGAAAAATAAGGTTCGGATTTCCAACTCCAATGTTAAATCATTGCTACTTTATGGATCAGAGACTTAGCGCGTCATGAAGAGCACCTCAGACAAACTGAAGACCTTCATCAAAAGGTGCCTTCGCTCAATACTCAAGATCAGATGGCCAGAAAAGATTAGCAACAGGGACCTATGGGAGCGAACCAACCAGGAACCGATTCTGAAACAAATATGCAGGAAGAAATGGAAGTGGATTGGCTATACTCTGAGGAAACCATCAAGTGATATCACAAGACATGCCATTGCTTCAGTGGAACTCAAAAGGGAAGCGGCGAGTTTGTCGTCAGTGCAAGGGTGACTTGGAGGAGGTCACGTGAAGAGGAGATGAAAGCATGTGGGCAGATGTGGAGCCAGGTGAAAACTTTGGCAGAGAACCGAGCTCAATGGAGAGGTGCTCACCTCTAGGAACTAAAGGAAATAGTGATATATTTCTGAAATGTTATCTAGTGTTACAGTTTTCAAGTGATTAGAAAGGTGAATTTGTTTTTATAGCAAACTGTTGTCCATCTCTAGTCTCTTGGATGCAATAAACACTAGAATAAGAACCACACCATCTTTCAAATAATTTCTCCCTTTAAATGTCAAATAATTTGACTCACTGAAGTAGACAATCGGATCTTACAGTCGATAAATAACAAGTCTTATCACTTTGATAATAAGAAAATATCATGTAATAATAAAAGGCTGGCTAGATTTCACGATTACAGGGGTTTAGTTGAAGCGCCAGTGATCGTCCATCGGTTCAGGTGTACAATTTCCACCTCACTTACTGCCATAAGATGAGTTGAATAACCTATCAGCTGCTCACCAGGTTTTAGTGATATTCTTCCCACCTTCTGTATGTAAATAAAATACATAAACATCGTTGGAACAAGATTGATTGAAAAACACAAAGTAAGGAAATTAAAATCTAACTGATTTAAATGAATTCAATTAGCAGGCAACAGACAGTTTTGTGATAACAATGTGGGAGAACGAGAATTATGAATATCAAGTTTAATTACCCCGCATAACAAATTTAATGATCTCTCTGGTTTAGACTGGGGAGTAAATACCGTATCAGGAACTGTGTATTGTAAAGCTGCTTAATCTTAGTCGAGCTTTACACTTTGAAATAGTGACTTTATGTAAATGTTGTATACGCTAAAGCGATACTGGCTTATAACTTCATCATGATGCTACCTATTCAATGTCTTCCTGTGTGCATGGTTCTTTGTTGTTTAGGAAAGGGTAAATTTAAGAATTGAAACTGCTAAAAACAACTATTACCACTTATGTAATTACTTGTCCTTATCCATGGTTACTTACTATCTGTGTGTTTACGTTCCACTTTTATCGTTAAGATACACGTCACTAAAAAACGATCATATAGGTTGAGCTTTTCCAGGATTCTGCTAAATGAAGCCAACGTGTGAAAGCTGCAACACATTCAGACACTTTCATATTTCTGCCCAATTTTTTAACAGTCCTTCAACTAAAGTTTTTACAAACCTTCCTGAAGTATCTAGGGTAGTCTCTATATGCTTGTAATTAAGAATGCTGCGTATATCTGTGAAAATCACTAACAGCTAATGGGAATAAGTTCCACTGCCAATTATTCTTTATATTTATGAATGACAAATAAAGTTAACCCCTTCATGACACTTGACTTCGTTTCCTGATAGGTGAAAATCTTCCTGTTTAGGTGAACTACTATTACCTCTCATAATCAACCAATCAATATATATATATATAAACATATATATATTATTAATTTTGTCATTTATTTTTCATAACCAAGGTGAAAATCTTATCCTATTTGACCTTAAATATAACCTTAGATTATATTACAAGAAATAAGTGTCATTCTTCCTTTCTTCCTCTTTAAATCATCGTGGCCTGGTGGAATACATTTTTAGACTAAAGAAAAAACTCTTCTGCACAGTTTAGTATGTGTATTGAAATAGCCAGTTAAAATGGCAGTGCTTTCTAGTGAAATTACCTTCGGAGGCTAACAGTCATATAATGAGTGACTACTGAAAGTTGAATGAAAAAGAGAAAAACAAGGCAAAGAAGGGGTTGAAAATATTATGAAGTAATTGGACCTTGGTTCTAAATTGGATTACCAAGGCAGGTTTAAGGTGATAACAAATAACTTTTGGACACATAGGACAGGTTTAAGTCTCTTTATGGCTAAGGCTTCAATGAATTTAAGTATGTGACCCAACCTTGTTTTATATATCGAATTAAAGGCATTGTTGAAATCAACCTTATGACCTGTCTCTATAATGTGCTTCGTTAAAGATGGTGTTGGACATCTATTTCCGGGGTCAATTGTGTCTGACGATTTCATTTGTTGTTGCAGCCATTTGGGAATGTTCTGTAGCCCTAACCTGCAGTGACCAATAGGTCCTCCCAATGTACTTGTCTCCACACATGCATGTAAATTGATAAACACAGTGGGATGTGACGCTATCGTTCGGATAATGTGAGGGCTTACAGGACAGCATAGTTATCGTTTTCTATATGAAGATTAGCTTAGCTGCATAATATGTTCTATTAATTGCGGCCTTGAGTCTTTGCTTAGTGACCAGACTTTGTTGATCACCTCTGAACGGCAAGGATATGTAAACATCCTTTTTGGCAGCTGATTGGGTTGGTAGAGCTCTATGGTTGACGCTTCCGTAACGCCTAATAAATCTCAGTGGGTAACTGTTATCTAACAATATCTCAGTTAGGTGCTGTATTTCTTCTTCAATTGTATCAGCAGTACATATACGGTGAATGCGCTTGAACAAACATTTAACCAACGCCTTTTTATACTGTAGTGGACAGAAACTATGATAATTTAGATACTGTTCCGTCCATGTGAACTTTCTGTAGATAGATCGTTTTACTGACCCATCTTCTTGGCGAGTTATGAGTACATATAAAACTGGCAGGCAGCCATTATTCTCTTTAACGTATGTTAGCGATATGCCGTTTTGTACTCTGTTGATTTGGTTCAGGATTTCTATGGCATCTGTCGGTTTATCACAAATGACTGTCATGTCATCTACATATCTTTTATAAAAATAAACTTTTCCAATTTCTTTCCCCACTAGGTTCTCAACATGGGACATATTAATATATATATATATATATCAGCTAACAATGGGACTAGGGAGCTTCCTATAGCAACACCATCGATCTGGCGATAATGCTCGCCCTCAAATGTAAACTTAACATTGTTAGTACAGAGAAGCAGTAACTCTTTTAAGTAAGATACGGGTACTGATAATAGGAAATCGTTGTTAGAGATGTAGTCACATAAAATGTCAAATGTCTGTAAAAGAGGTACATTTGTAAATAAAGATTCAACATCTAGGGAAAACATGGTTTTGTCCTTTATATCAACGTTATCAAGACAATCACTTAACTCAAAAGTGTCTTTCAATGAGAACTTATAGAAGCTTCTTTTAATAGGCTCTAATATTTCCACTAACCACTGTGCAAGTTTGTGGGTCGGAGATCGGCACATTGACATTATGGGACGTAGAGGAATGTTAGGTTTATGTGTTTTAGGCAGACCATACATGTGTGGTAAAACGATACAACTAAGATTGATTTCACAATTTGCAAATACATGATTAATTCATTGTTTTTACATTTCTAATCAGGTTCCTCTCAGGTAAATAAGTACATATCTTGAGTTTCTTCTTCAGTAGCTTTTTCTACTGACAAATGATCACTGCTTTTCCGAGGATCTTACACACTACTTATATATTTTTGTAAGCAGAACACACCACACTGCACTAAGAAATATGTAAAAGCCCATTAAATTCAGAACCCTAGTACCAACCAAAAATAAGTAGTATTAATTTCCGTTTAATGTGCTGAACTATTTATTAAATGAATACAGTGAATAAATGATTTATTGTTTTCTAAAGAGTTAATTACCTTAACTGTTATTTTGATCTTATATTTCTCTTTACAGAATGGATTTACACCACTGCATGTTGCATGTCAAAAGAATCGCATTAAAATTGTTGAGCTTCTTCTTAAACATAACTGTTTAGTTCAAGCCACGACTGAGGTAAGGGGATGAGTGTGTTTCTTTCAGTTATTCTTTACCTAATATATATATATATATATATATCCTGATGGATTTAGACAGCCAATTGAGTAAACGTTGTCACCAGCATAATTATTGAAAACCAAGGGATCCCTGAAAAAAGATGTTTCATATGAATTCTTGTGACACCAAGCCATTCCAATGTCTGCCAACTGCCAGCATATATTCTGTCCATAGTTGATATTTGTCAATCAGCTTTCACGCTTTTATCTAGCTTGATCAGTGTCGCAGGTCACAAAGTCTCATTAGAACTTCAGTCATCTTACAAGAAACCTAAAAATTCTTTACACTTCATCAGGACAGTAGAATGTACAAATGTGAAATTAATGATTTAGTTGCAGTGATGATTATTAAAGCAAAGAATTTTATACTTTTCAAATATATAATAATACTGAACTACTTGATATAAGACATTTGAAATACTATTCTATTTGGAATATTTGATGTGCAAGATAACTGACTTGATTGTACTCGGCCTTTTAGGCTGAATTAAACAAGGTTGAAGAGGAAACCCTGTGTTTGAAAGTCAAATGCTTTCACTAATGATATATGCATTCTTTTTATCAACATTTATACATTAACAGTTGATATAAGTATAAAACTTGGGCACTATGGTAGAGTATAACTCCATTTTAGATAAGATTTTATTTTGATAAATCACACAGTGTTGTACAGTAATATTAACTGATGACGTTTCGAGCACAAACTGTTGCTCATAATAATGTCAAGTCATTCACACAACTTTATACTTCATTTATATACTTGAGTGAAATTAATTAGACATTTGAATAAAAATCAATATCAACTAAATGCGATTGGATGGGAAATAAGATGTTTTTGTAGTCAAAATAAGTAACTTGTTAGAATGTTATAATGTATGTGAATTGAAATAGAATTTTAAGATTATTAATTATCCTCCTTTGATTTGAAAATAAAATAAAATCTTATCTATAGCAGTAACAGTTGATTTTAATTACACTTCAGAGAGTATGGTGGCAATTTTTTAAACACAATATTGTTTGCATTATTTTCGGTTGATTACAGCTGTGATATGTCAGAGAAATATTGTACCGACATCCATTAAAATTCGTTATATCTCAAGAAAATTGGTGAAATTGAATAAAAGCTAACAGTGAGAACTATTGATCTTCTTTGTGCTATGTTCAGGCGTGCTTAAATCAAAGCACAGAACTTCATAAGGCAATAATCTGATTTAATGAACATCTTATAACTCATCTAGTCTATTGTTTGATTGTTTTGATGAAACCAAAAGTTATAGAGCAAGCTCAACTACAAATTCATCATCGTCTAAATGAGACATTTTGTTATTAGACAATAGGAGTTAACAACTAGAAAAGACTGAAACCCGATCTGTTCACTGTCTCTGCTCATAAACAGAGTATACTTGTATCGTGAGTTTTGAAACCTTACACATCTTTTCTCAAGTTAGAGAATCTAAATATAAACTATCTTGGTCACAAATGATCTCTTGAAATGGAGATTAATACTGATTCATAATCAATTTGACTGTCTGATGTTAAATTGTGAAGTGATTGTAAATGTGTGTTGCTCAACAGGTATAAAATCTAGATGATATGTAGTCTTATTAAAGACTGACTCTCAGCATCCCTTGCAGTATCCTGTCAAGAGGCAGGAAGAATTGTTTTATAATCCTTGATTTCTTTTGTCTGTAAACCAGTCAATCTAACATTTCAAAACCTTTGGATATGTAGTTTGTCAGTGAAAACAAACGTAAAACTGAGGTCTTTAAACACTCCAGTACTTGGTACTCCTACTTATCCCATTGCTTTTCTTTTCTTCCCCATTTTGTTTTCTATTATATGTACGACAGTTTTTATTCCTTTTTAACTGTAAAAAGGGAGAGGAAATTTCAGTCCAGCCACTATGATTTCCTTTACTAATGAATTACTGAATTAACAATAGGGAAAAAGAGAGGGAGAGGAAGTAACAAAAAAAAAATAAGCATCTAACTTTGCATTTTCTATTTTTCTTTTATAATCTTAGTATAATTATCTCTATTAAGTCTATTCACTAAATATTCTCGTCTACAGTTATTTACTTGAATGATAATAACAACAAGAGAGTACAAGTAATATGAATCTATTACTGAATTGGTGCGTATTAATTGCCTTTGCGTAGATTTATTCTTTTTCCCTTAATTCCCTGATGGGTTATTTCTCATCAAAATGAGTCTATTACGCTTCTTTCTTTCAATGTATCTGTCTGTTTCCTGAAATTATTGTTAGTTAAGGAGTTAAGGAGTAATGTTTGCTAATAATTCTAAACAGCTATTTTTGATATAAAGATGATAAGAATAACATAATAACAGCATCATAATAACATAATCAATGATGTAATAGCTCAGTTAGTTGCATTCTGGATGTTCGAACTGATCCTGCATGTGTACGCGCCAGTGGTTCAATGGTAAAATGCTCTCTGAATGCACAGGAAGTTCAGGGTTGATTCCTGGCCGGCATAATTTTGAATCTCACCTAGTTTACTAGCCAGTAGTAAGCCTGGAATACACGAAAGAGTTTGGGCTGGAGGTTAGTAACCTCACTGCATATAAACAACACAACTGTTACCGAAAAACTTGAAACCCTGTGTTCCACTCGAAACGCAAGAAATAAAAGAAAGGAAAGAAAAGAAAACAGGTTGTAACAGATCCTGTCTAAATTATTCTGTACACACTCACAAGCTTAGAAAACGAACTACATTTTCTTTCTTTCACGCCAAGTGTAAATTCAATACTAATTATTCAATGCCTGAGTAAAGTAAATTTCTGAAGTTATAGGTGAATAGTACTGACTACACCGTGAACCACATCAAATCACCGATGATAGTTTTTTCTTGCTAGATAGTTAGAGGCAGCTGGCAAGAAGCCTTGAACATTCGTCTCATGTTTGCTAAAACTGATCAGTAAGGAGTATCTGCAACCTCGAAGGAACAGGTGTCCCTCTGATATTTGAACTTGATTCACTCATTGCTTAATTTAGAGACGTTACAACTGACCTATTCAAGCCGAGGGGCAAGTCACTGGGTTCCAGGCTTTCCACCCGTTTCATGCAATGAATTAACATCATTTCAGACTTTATCTTCATGATGAGTTACCTAATTTGGTAGCCTTATAACAAACTTGACTGATAGGACTCAATACATGACACTTGTTATTCCCTAGCGAGTCACAGTGTATATTTTATTGTACACCACCAGTCAATCTGAATGATTATCTAATTTTGAATATATAATAATTAAAATATTTATTCATATAAAAAAGTTTTACCTTTTGAATCTTTAAATCACCTATCCTTATCTACTTCCTGCCTGTACTCACTATGCTCACATTGTAAGTCTGTCCCCGTTGGAGATATCTTGTTGGTGAGTAACAGTCGTCATGAAACACGGACTGAATAAAGCTGGCTGTCGATTGGCCTGTTTACATGTAATTTTATTATCGAGTTTCCAAAACAATCATTCACTACAGTTCGAAGACAGGTACATATATATTCAGGACGCATACAGTACAAAATGCATTTTTATACAAAGAGCGACAATAGCTGCCTTCATGAGAAATCTGTTAATCGATATTACGACGATACATTATCATTCTACGAAGTCATTACTTTGATTTTAGGTCTGATGGTGACTGTACACTATCAGACCAGAGTCTTCGAAATGTTAAGAATCTATCACTGAACACAATTTGCGATATCAGTGGAAACCTAGCATAGAGACGTTAATGTATTTACTTCCTGAAACACAGATTATGGAACAACGAATATGCTTTCCTACAACTTCAGGCTCTAGAGTTGTGTCCAAAATTAGTCAAACAATAATTGTTATTAATAGCATTAATATTTATTATGGTACCGAATTATTTCAATTACGAAATCCAAGAGGTTTATGTGAATAAGTAAATACTGGATTATAGTTCAGAACATGTGTTTGTGTGATAATATGCATAAATATGGCACTAGACTGAACTTCACATATCAAAGTAAATGATTATGAATAACGGTAGATGTACTGAAATGAATCGTTGCGACTCATGCTTAAAATTAATTTTATTCGTTTTAATTGTAAATTTCATACGAATAAACGTTAACATCGAAAATTCGGAGGGAAGATTTGGTAGTAGATTTTGTGTATGTGTGTGCAAGTAAGGGCTAGATTGAATAATTACGGAGGAATTCAGAAAATTAAGGGTTAATACGAATGCGAAGATACAACGATAATTGAATAAGATGAATTCCATTGAAAAATAAACAAGGAGTAGGAAGAATGTACGTTTACAGAATGAAAGATCAGACCAAAAAGCATGATGTAACACAATATTTACGAATTATGTAAATTCTGCAGCAGGCCTTGGAAACAATATTAGTTGAACTCGTTTCTTTTGTACTCAAAGTTGCTGCTGTTTTGAAGCAATTCTTATGATTGATGTCGTTAGAAGTATTCGGTATCTGAAATGAATAAATTATAATAAACATTTTGTCTTAATATTCTTCATAAAATGATTAATCTGATTATCTTATGATAGGGTTTTATGCCCAATCCCTATTACTATGATATTTCACTAATAACCTTGGCTGGAGTTATCCTATTCTATTCTGTTTATTTATTTCAGTCTGGTCTGACACCGCTTCATGTATCGTGTTTTATGGGACATTTAAATATTGTAGTCCTGTTATTGCAGCATGGCGCTAATGCAAACGCACCAACTGTACGTTGTGAGACTAGTTTACACCTAGCTACTCGTGCTGGACAAACTGATGTTGCCCGTCTACTTTTACGTAATGGTGCTCAGGTGGATGTTAAGGCCAGAGTAAGTTATCAAAAGATTTTGGTTTATGTACCGGTGGATTACAAGAACTCCACCTGGTTTACTAGCTCACTAGTTTCTAGTAGGTTCCAAGCACAGGGAAAGAGGGAGGGTTAGGCGTCGGGCTAGTAACCCTACCTCAGTAAACCAATCAAACTGCTGCAGAAACTTCAACGCACAAAATAATATTAGAAAACACAAAAATTATAAACAACAAACTTATTTTTCTCTGGAATCGGAGAGGTGATATGACTCTGGTTAGTGAAAACCTCCCGAAATCCAGTCAGATGATGTGTCTTCTTGCGATGAAAGTATAAATAAGAATGGACACATCCGGACTGTCAACTAGGGATTCAGCAATCTACTCCGGTATAGTCACCCAGACGACAACCACGAGCATACTGAGTGCTTATTATGATGTCACTAACAGCAGCCAAAGCTCTTACGCAGTGAGAACCAACCTCCTACAGGATTATGACTGCAAGATTCAACTCAAAAGCAAGGAGAGTTACAATTATCCAATGCTATGCACCTACAAACAACGCAGAACAAGGGAAGACTTCTATAAACAACTGCAAACAATAGTGGACAACATCCTAAATGGAGACATCAAAATTCTTATGGGCAGTATCAACGCCAAACTGGGAGCAGACAATTCAGGGAGAGAACTCATCATGGGTCGACAGGCTCTCGGTGAGACGAATGATGGGGGAGAAGTCTTCGCAGACTTTTGCGCCTTCAATGATTTGGTCACTGGAGGCAGCGTGTGCAAGCACAGGATATACACAAAGCAACATGGATTTCTCCTGATGGTTACACCACAAACCAGATAGATTTCATTTCACTCTCAAGGGAGTGGAGATGCAGCCTGACGGATACAAAGTCGAGAAGGGGAGCAGATGTGGGCTCACACCATCATCTAGTTCAAGGAACCTTCAAGGTGAAGCTGAAATCCCTGAAAACAACTGGAGACAGGCCACAATTCAAGTTCAACATTCAGAAACTGAATGACAAAACTACAAAGGACACCTTAACTACAGCTATCAGGGCAAAGTCGGAGATACTACGTAGAATCATCAGTGAGGAAACCGGTGTGGGAGAACATTGGAACTCTCTGAGGGTGAAGTTCAAGGAAACGTGTACAACCGTTCTAGGAAAAAAGAAGAGCCAAGACAAGGAATGGCTCTCTACGGACACCTGAAAGCTAATAGAAGAGAGGAGGATGGTGCAGCAGAAGATGAACCAATGCAAAAACGGACGGCAGAAGAAGAAGCTGAGTTGAATGCAACATCTCACTGAATAAAGAAGTGAAGAATTATGCTAGGAAAGACAACCTGTACAAGTCGGATTCAGGAAAGGCAAATCGTGTGCTGATCAAATTCCAACTCTACGCATCATCGTCGAACAGAGCATAGAATGGCAGTCAGACCTGTACGTTGACTCCCTTCATCGACTTCGTAAAGGCCTTCAACAACGTTGACCTAGAAGTAATTTGGAATCTGCTTCAACACTATGGAGTGCAGTGCCCAAATCTCTATCAACCTCATTCAACAGCTATATGACAGTAGCACGTGTCAGTCGATCCACAGTGGAAATCTTAGAGAAGCCTTTGAAGTGAATACATGAGTAAGACAAGGCTGGCTACCCATTATCACCAATGATATTCATAATTGTGGTGAGCTGAACTATGCGTCGGGAGTGAGAAGACAGGAATACGCTGCACCGATCGATAAGAAGACTCTAGAACACCTGGATTTCGCGCGTGGATGATCTATGTTTAGTGTCACACAAACTCGAAGACTTGCCAGCGAAAATCAACAAACTGGTTGAAGAAGCAGGCAGCGAAGACAGGACTCCAGGTGAACATAGAGAAGGCAGAGTTGATGAAGATAACCAACCAACCGACCAACAAGAACAACCTGTGGCAACTACCATCAACGGGAGAAACTTGAAAGAGATTACTTCCTTCACTTATCTAGGAAGCATCGTTTCAACCACAGGCAGGCGGAACAGATAAAGTGTCGAAGCCATGCAGAATTGGAAAGGCAAGCTACGCCTTCATCAATCTGAAATCGGTCTGGAAATTTTCTGCACTCAGCATAAGGAACAAGTTTCAGATTTTTGGTACATGTGTGAAGTCAGCTTGTTCTTATATATGGGTCAGAGATTTGGCTATTGCGTCATGAAAAGCATTTCCAACAGATTTCTGCAGACATTTATTAACAACTGCTTTCGTCTCATATTGAAGATCAAATGGTCAGAAAGAATTAGCAATAAGAAACTATGGGAACAAACTCACCAACAACCTATTGTTCAACAAATATGTATGAGAAAATAAAGAATGATTGGTCAGGCGCTGAGGGGACCGCTGAATGATATTGGCCGCCATGCCATTGCTCGAGTGGAACCCTAGGTGAAAACTATGCATGGATCGTCAGAGGTTGACATGGAGGAGACTGTGAGAGGAGATGAGGGATTATTGGCAACCGTGTGGCCAGCTAAAGAGGACATCAGAGAAAAGGACAAAGTGGATATGTGTTGTTTAAGCCCTACATCCCACCCTGAACGCAAAGGAACAATAATTATTAATAATAATAATAATGGGTGGAATCTTGGATGATTGTCTGAAGTAACTGATTTTTTAGTAGTTTTCAAATATCTACTTTATTTGAAATTTTTTTCTAAAAGTAAGAATCACTTATTGGGTAGTTGTTCATGCTTTTACTTTTTATTAGTGGATTTATGTATACATTGCCTCTTTTGTTACGTTCAACTGATTTGAAGTTTGCTGTCATTTTTAATATCAGTTTCACTTGAAGGCATACTTTAAACATTCACTTTCTCAGTGTAATATGTTTCAACTTGTAGGTCACATCATTTGACAATGATTTTGAGATTTTATCATTAATGAAACATGGACATAATTATAATTAAAACAGTAATTTCACGTGTTGAATCTGTTCATTATTCAGCTGTAGGTATCACCACTGAACCAGGACTTTAGTGATTCTCGGAAGTGACTTTTGAATCTACATGTGCATTGCATTTGATAATCTCATAATAAGCTATAAATAAATTAAAACCGATTCGCGATACATTTTGAGAGGATGCATAAGTAGCTAATCTACATTATTAACAAATCATCATCAGCAGTAAGAACCTAAAGGAAGTCGTATACCTCACTTACCTGAGCGGCATAGTTGTCACTTTTAGATATATAACTTAGTGAAACAATATTATTATTTAGTAGGAAAGTATTTTGAACGCAATTGGTCATTTTCAAAGCGAAATTCCTCTACTCCTACAAAAGCAAAAAATGTAAATAGTTCAAAGGGTGACTCTAAACTTTAGGAACCCAAAACAACCTTGAGAACGGATGACCTTGAGCAGGCAATCATCTGACTCGCAATGGATGCTGTACATCGTTTGCGATGCAAATTCGCTCCAGAGTTTGTTTTCGATTACTGTTTGGAGAACGGGCTGATAGCGAGATCTAAAACTTGCCAGTGCGGAGGTGTTATGCGTATACAAAGATACACGAAATGCATCGACGGTTATGTTTACCGTTGCAGGGAGTGCAGATGCAGAAAATCAGTCCGAGAGGGTATGTCGTTATTTTTTAGTTTATAGATTCCTTAGATACATTTTTCTCGAAATCCCATTTACCTCTAACGAAGATATTGATGATGTGTCACAACTGGGTTATAAGAAGACCAGTAACAGCAACGGCGTATGAAACTGAAATGTCAGAAGTTTCTGCAGTACAGTGGTACCAATACTGCAGAGACGTGGCGTCGTGGAAAATGAACAGATTGACCCAAGTACTCGGTGGAGTTGGTGTTACTGTTCATGTGGATGAGACGGTTTTAATAAAAAGGAAATATAATCGAGGGAGAATGGCTTCAAATCAACAATGGGTGTTGGGTATATATGACACCACCCTACACAAGGGATATATAGAAGCAATTCCGCAGTGCCAATGTATTGTTGCCAATTATCCAACGTTTAGTGCTACCGGGAACAACAATACACACGGATGAGTGGAGTAGTTACAGCCAATTATCAAATCTGGGCTATATTCATGAGGTTGTCAACCATACAACCGGATTTATAAATCCTTTCAACGGAACTCATACTAATTCCATTGAAAGTTTCTGGAGCCATCTGAAAAAACGGATAAGATCGGTCAACGGATCAAGAAATCCAATGATTTACAGTTATCTCGACGAATTTATGTAAAGGACTTGGTTTAATATGACTTTAAAGACTCCTATGTCTAATTGGGACTTTTTTTGCTACATATACGAGAACGCTATCCTTTGTAACTATTTTTTAACATTGCTTTACTTGTATATAAACGGTTTATTAAAATTATGCGCCGTTCATTTTGAGCCTTCTGATTGGTTAAAATTGTCCTTGTCAAGGTCATTTGTCCGTTCGTTCGTTTGGGTTCCTAAAGTTTAGAGTCACCGTTCAAAGTATACAAACATGCACCTTAAATGTTGTGATTTTGTGTTTGATGCCGTGAAAAAGAAATCACTTTCAAAAATCATTCAAGGGAAAATACTGTTTCACTTTGTGATTTCTGTGGTAAGACATCTAATATAATATTAAACAAATAGCCACATATCATTTACCCATATGATGGTAAACGAAGCCTTTGATATGTAATGTGAAATCATTATCTGATCAGTCAGTAGAACACTGAGTCACTGATCTCTATCTATACCAAAATGAAGCTTTCGGATTTGATATGTAGTCACATGATGTCCGTTTTGTTTTGACAGTCTGATATGTTTGCTATATGTATATTGATCGTTGTTCCATTGTAACTCACAATATGCTTTGTCTGTCCATTAACTAAATAACCAATGAATGACCTTCGTCACATGACATTACAACCAATCAGAATCCAATGATGGTAAGAAAAACTACTGTCTATCTTATTGGTTCATGTATGTTAGTCATTTTCATATATACTCTCTAATTGTACAGCTAACACACTTGCACACCTCTTCGTACTTGGTAGTTCCACTCACACTTTGTGTGACAGTTAGTTTTCCTTGTTGAAAAATACACGTATCATCGTGAACGTGGTGGTTTTCTGATTTCCCCCTTCGCTTCAGGACAAATTAACTACTCAGCAATACCAGTCTGTAAGTGATCGTCCGTTATATCTCATTAGCGTATATTAACGCTCGGTCACACCCTAATATCGGCAACGACCCCATAACATATTGGCGACGAGTACATAACAGGTTTCTCAAGATATAATTTATACCGTTATGAACTGGGATTCAAGCAGCAGTATTTGCACAATAGTTGACACGATGCACGAGAGGTTACATAGTATTTTATCAATTATCCGTTTACCGAGTAGCTATTCAGATTAGGCAAGGTTTAAAGTGAGTCGACTATATTATCAAGGTCTTTTAAGCGCACGGCTGATGAATCTAGCTTCTCGTTCGATATCTAGATCACTTTAGCTAGGAAGAATTGCTGTTTGACGTGACTGGTTTCTAACTACTCCTATCATAAAGGAATTACCGAATTAGTTGGTTACAATATATTTCGCATCATGATGTCATATTAGATATAACTATACTAGCTATATTCTATGTCTTAAACGGGATGATTCGGATAAATAAGTGGAATGTAGCGAAAAACTCATACAATTTTTCCATAATTTCCTACTTGATGCTATTAGTTGATGAATATTAAATAGAGAAGTAACGTGGTAGACTCAAAACTTCAACGTTGGTATATCCTTGAAACGTTATCCTTTGTTATGAAAATAAGTCAGAAAGTGTCTAGTGCATTTTAGAGCTAATTCACACTGATAACGAATGTGTGGCACCACTAACTAAAAAGTAAAATCGATAAAGTCCTTAATTTTTGGAAACAAATATTCACACTACTTAATAGTAGTTATATTACCATTGAATATATAAATTAAAGTCTATCAATTTTATTCTGCTTTTTTCTTTCTTTATTCAGGGTAATCAAACACCATTGCACATAGCTTCACGTATTGGTAATATTGAATTAGTCACTTTACTTCTAGAACATGTTGCCAATGTGCAAGCTGTAACTAAAGACACTTACACACCAATACATTTAGCTGCTAAAGGAAATCACAAAGAAGTTTGTGAATTACTTTTGAAAAATGGAGCTGAATTAGAAGTAACAACCAAGGTAACTAATTATTATTGTTTATTTTATTTATTTCTGTTCCCAGTGGAATATAAGGCTCCAAGCTTCAGTTTTGAACTCGCATTAGCAGTGGTGTTCTTTATAAGGAATACGGTTGCTAGCCTGATGCCCGACCTTCCTTTACTGGGCTTACTACTGGCTAAGCAAGGTTCAGGAGTGAGTCGGCCGGTGTTCGGACTCCAGACAATGTGTGGTTAGTAGCCGTCCTACCACTGCACTAAAGACAGTTAATAATTAATAATGAATATTATAAATTATATGTTATAATACTATGAACTCTGAGTGACATGCGATTGTTCACTGAACTTACTGGTTGTCTCTCGTCCATCCAAGAATGGATTTATCGATGCTGCAATAAGTTTTACCTAAATCTGTTGGTTCAAAATATCATGACAATATTTTACAATAAGTCAGAAAATGTTTCTGATACATTATTTAAAAAAAATTGGAAAACAGTGAATTCTAGGACTCTCAATCGTCCTATTTGCAACTCGTTAAATGGATGTACATGTGTAACAGCAGGAGGCAAGACACGGAAGGTATATAATTATCAGCAATAGTTTGTGCACGAAACGTCATCAGTTACTGTATAACGCTGTGTGATTTATCAAAATAAAATCTTATCTAAAATGGAGTTATACTCTACCTTAGTGCGCAACTTTTATACTTATATGAAAGGTATATTTTTCATTAATCAACCCTCTTGATGATATTTGATAGTTGGAGGCAATCGGCAGGAAGCCTTGGACCTAGGTTTCGTGCTAGTTGGCACTCATCAAATCACTGTGCACGTGATGGCGAGCTACCTAGAATGGTGGCCACATTGCAAACACCTGACTGATAGAATTCAGTTTGCACCAAAGAAAGGACTAGACACGTCACACTAGTTACTAGTGTCCAATCAAAATCAACCCTCTTTTTATATATCTACAGTTTATATTTGTTAAGCAATCACTGAGCGTATGATTTCGGTTTACACCAAACAACATGAAATAGAATGTTCAAATATACATAGTATTCTGTTGCCAACGCAGTACTGAACTATGAAAATATATGAGAATCATATTACGTTGGCACACATTGTCTGTATCACACCACCACTCTTGTACTCCAGTTAAAAATAATGGTTCTATTGAGAATCAAACCTACCATATAAAACACTGAAGCATTAGCAAGGCATTTGTACTAACAGCCGACATGTTAACAGAGACTGAAAATTTCTGCTAAATAAAATCAAATCGATGGAAATTTGAAATAATTTCATTATATATTTTCAATTCATTTGAGTTTATTTATCAGTCACGTATCTACTGACATCTCACTTTTAATATATATCACATTGTATGCAGAGTATTCAACTGATGAGTTCCACCGAAATCTAATAAAAACATAAAATCCTGCTTTATTAACACTTTTTATTTGTTTTAAATTCGTATCGGGGAAAATACGTTTTTCCAGTTACAGTTCCTCTGATGTCTTCTCATGCCTTATCAACATTGAAGTTTTGAAAACCATAAGGCAATTCAAATTGTCATGTTTGAAAAAATCGCTAACTATCGACAAAAATGTGCGTCAGAAGGATGATTTATTAATTAGTGGTTATAAGCCACTGAAAGTAATATTTCAAAGTGACTACTTTTTAATACTCTCACCTGTCGTGCTCAATCAGGTGTTGTTAGCATACTTGCAAAATCCTGTTCATTTTAATTCATCAGATTTATTATTATTATTATTATTGTTATCATTATTATTATTAGTAGTACTAGTATGAGTATTAGTATTAGTATTGTAACAACAGAAGAGAAGGGCCAGGCAACAGATCGTTTATTAAGGAAATTAAAGCATATTTATATATTTTCATGTACATTATTATGGTTTAATTAAGTAAACAACACAGTCTTCTGATTCGTGGTTTCTCACTTAAAGTTAATCTTACATCTCTTTGTGACTGTTTCTTGAATGTCAGATCATCTATGTGTTAACTGTATCCGCCTACGCAAAGGCTGCTGTGGTCGGTTTTGCATCAATCTTGTTAATATTTTCTCACGACAAATCTTGAGAACGTAAACATTGACGTAAATTACTATCTACCAATTTGGCTAGTAGACAGCTCTCACCACAGCATTAGTATTATTACTATTATTGTTATTATTATTATGTGATAATCGTTCACCAGTAATACTTTTAATTTTACATCACGTTTTCATTATTATTTCACAATCAATATTATTGTCGTTATTTTTACCCTCGAACTTACTACCTAAGTCTTTATTTTTATAGAACGCGAAATATAACGACCTTTCACCTTTCTTCCACTGAACTTCGGAGGAGTAGTTAGCACCCTTGATACCTTTCAGTGCAGTTCAGGTCACAATTTAAAGGTAGGATTAACTTGATCGGCGTTTGCGGCACAGAGGTTAGGACTCTCGCCGACCATGCACATGGTCCGGGGTTCGATCCCTTGCCGACGCACACCTGAGATCAATGGTTGGCCTGCAAACTTTGGCTACCCATATCACATGCTGAAAATTCCATACTTGTATCAAAAATACTGTGTGGTTTCAAGCTATAATCAAAAATTATATATATATATCAGTGAAAATGAAATCTTTGTTGAGAAGGGTTAGCCAAAGGAAGACAAGTTTGAAAAACTCTAGGTGTAGATAAAAAGAAACATGTCACCAGTTCATAAAGCAGATTATCTATTTTGGATTCTGAAGACGTTAAAAATCAACAAGTGTAGACTCCTGATGATAGCATAGCTTGGAATATTTCATTAATTATCATCTTTGAATTCCTGGACATCTTGACCCATTTCCTTGTTTATGCCTGTTCTCTTCTCTTTCTACCTTTTTTCGAAATATAAAGTGGTTAATTTCTGTGCCTGATTCTTGATTGATCTCTTGCATATGACTGGCTATGACCAAATAGATTGGCACAATTTTTATCGGTAACACTGAAACAAACTTCTTATAATTAATTTTACACAAAATTTAGTATCAATTTAATGTCAGTGGGTTAGGGAAACAGTAGGGTACAACAAATATGCAATGAGGTCGGAATAACTCTTAACAGGAGAAATCCAGGTTAACCACAGTGTTAACCCCCTTATACTGAAAATAGGACAAAATCGCTTGATTTCGCTTACCTTTGTTCTACAAGGCACGAAAACAAATAAAAATATTTCACTGGATAAACTTCGTTCGTATCATTTCATTTATATTAGATGCTTTTGTTATTTAGTTGATGGTGGCTAGCTGTGGAATGCAGGACGCGGGTTTTATCTTATCTAGGATTCGTTAATGAGTGGTGGTTTGATTTCGGCACCCATCGTTTCAAATGACGAGGTGTTACCCGCTACACCAGTGGGCCACTAGAGCCCCCTCTTGTGCAAAGGGTATTAAATAAATTCTTCAGGCTGTACAATTATAAATCCATTAGTTTAAGTGTACTGAGTGTACTTTTAAGTTTTCACCACGTCTTCATTATTATTTCACAATCTATTATTGTCGTTATTTTCACCCTCGAACTTACGTCTGGTTTATTTTCTGTAGTATTCATATTGTCTCACACACCACTGATTACACTCACCCTCGAAACCTGTACTTTTGTTGACTATGTTTGTATATGTGTATACACACATCATTAAATTGTTTCATCTTAATTTATCTCATGTTCTCACTGACCATGCATATCCAAAAACTGACTATTGTTCCATCCCTTCTTACACCTATTCCACAATACACTGTCTGATATGATTCTAATTTGCCTTTACTGACTTGGCTGTTGTATGCTTAAATTAATGGATTTATAATTGTAGAGCCTGAAGAAGAATTTATTGAAAAAAATTGTTTAGTCTAACTATTTTTGTCGTGAATAAATTATGGGAATATCCAAGCAACTCACTAATTATTTTTTTATATTTCTCACCTCCTCTTTTCCACATACCTCTTCAACCGGACAGTCTGGATTCACTCCACTGCATTTAGCTGTAAAGCATTCACATTTAGATACAGTTAAATATTTACTTCTATCAGGTGCTGATATGAATGCCGCTGGACGCAATGGGTTAACACCTTTACACTTAGCTACACACTATGGATCATTACCTATAGTTGAATTATTATTAGAAAGTAAGGTAAGTTATCAAAGAGGTTGAAATTCTGTACTTATTTGTTCAAATTACACCTGCTATATTCAAATGGGATTAACTTTTAGTTTGCTTAGAAAATTATAATAACAGTAGTTAAAATTTATATACCAAAGGTAGTCGTAATAACAGAAATTCTTCTTTTATGACACATTCCCTCTATGTGAAGAGAAGTAAATTAACGCCTAGGTCGGTTTCATTGGTTAATATTAATAGTTAACAGTAAGTGTAACAGTCTGCCTTGATTACAGACTTAGTCTGCGTGTCTGCGTAAGTGCTCAAAAAGTAATCACTCATAGTAAACACAGTGAAAGTAGTACACATTCATGATTGTGAATAGTTTAAAAGTACTGTGTCGTATGTTCAAATTAACTGATCATTAATAATACTGCGATATTTCGCAATAAAAATGTAAGTTATATCACCCTTATAAGGCTGTATTAACCTATGTCTAATTTAGTTTTGTGCGTCCTTATACAATATCTCAGCTAAATACCGACTCTGATTTGTTGGGTTAAATGTCTCATTCCCCTTGAGACATTGAGTTTTCTAAGGGTTACACCACAATTTATTATTATTATTGTTTCCTTTAGTTCCTAGAGGAACATAGGGCCTCAGCCACACCTCTCCATTGAGGTCGGTTCTCTGCCAAAGTTTTCACCTGGCTCCACATCTGCCCACATGCTTTCATCTCTTCTTCACGTGACCTCTTCCGTGTCATCCTCGCACTGACGACAAACTCGCCGCTTCCCTTTTGAGTTCCACTGAAGCAATGGCATGTCTTGTGATATCACTTGATGGTTTCCTCAGAGTATAGCCAATCCACTTCCATTTCTTCCTGCATATTTGTTTCAGAATCGGTTCCTGGTTGGTTCGCTCCCATAGGTCCCTGTTGCTAATCTTTTCTGGCCATCTGATCTTGAGTATTGAGCGAAGACATCTTTTGATGAAGGTCTTCAGTTTGTCTGAGGTGCTCTTCATGACGCGCTAAGTCTCTGATCCATAAAGTAGCAATGATTTCACATTGGAGTTGGAAATCCGAACCTTATTTTTCATTCTGAGTGCTGTTGACCTCTACACAGACTTGAGAGTAGTGAAAGCTTGTCTTGCTTTCCCAATCCTCGCCTTGATATCCTCATCAGTTCCGTCCGCCTGTAGTTGAAACGATGCTTCCCAGGTAGGTAAAGGAGGTTGCTTCTTTCAGATTTCTCCCATTTGTGCTGATTGTTGTCTGTTGTTATTGTTGCTGCTGTTGCTGTTGGCCTGGAGTCTTCATCACCGCCACTGTTTTCTCTATGTTCACCTGAATTCATATCTTTCTTTGATGCTTCTTCTGCCAACTTGTTGCTTTTCATCCCTTGCATATCTTCTAGTTTGTCGGAAATCAGACATATATCATCGGCGAAGTCCAGATCCTCCAAGTTTTTTGTGTGGGTCCATTTTATACCTGTCTTCTCGTTGCCCGCTGTTTGTCTGTCGCAATCAGGAAAATCATTGCAGATAGTAGGCAGCCAGCCTTGTCTTACTCCTGTCCTTACTTCGAAGGGTTCCATAAGTTTCCCGTTGTGGATTACTTGGCATGCAGCATTGTCGTACAGCTGTTGGATGAGATGTATAATTGTCGGTGGCACACCGTAGTAGCGAAGTAGTTTCCAAATCACCTCTCGATCGACGCTGTCAAAGGCCTTTTCAAAGTCGATGAAGTTGAGGTAGAGAGGTGACTGCCATTCCAGGCTTTGTTCAATGATGATCCGTAATGTGGCGATCTGATCAATGCATGACTTGTTTCTCCTGAATCCAGCCTGTTCCGGTCGAAGTTTTTCACCCAGGGTGTGTTTGATTCTCTCCAGGATAATACGGTTTAATATTTCGCTTGGGATAGACAGAAGCATAATTCCGCGCCAGTTCTTGCATTGACTTAGGTATCCTTTCTTTGGTAGTTTGAATAAGTATCCCTTCTTCCAATCCGCAGGTACCTTGTCCTCTTTCCACACCTTCTCCAGTAGTGGTGTCATCAAGTTCACTGATGTCTCGGGGTCCATTTTCAATGCTTCTGCTGGGATTCCATCTGGTCCTGCTTCTTTTCCAGTTTTTAGCATCTTGATTGCCTTCAGGATTTCTGTTCTCGTCGGGGGGTCGGTGTTCACTGGTAGCTCTGTCTCCGTTGTTGGTATCGTTGGGTGCGTTGTAGGTGGTGGTCGATTTCGGAGTCTTTTGAAGTGTTCAGTCCAGTGTTTCCTTTGCTCCACTTCTTTGGTGAGTGTCTTTCCGTTGTCATCTTTCACTGGCTTGATTTGTGTCAAACGTTTGCCCGATAGGTACCTAGTTGTTTGGTAGAGTGTTGCGAGGTCTCCTTTGCCTGCAGCTTGTTCTGCTTCACTTGCCATGGCTTCATAATATTGTCTTTTGTCTTCCCTGGCAGTCTTCTTCACTCTTTTGTTCAGTGTCTTGTAGCTCGCATTCAAATCTTGTTTTTGTTGCTCGTCGGTGCACTGGATTATCTTTTGTTTCACCATCCCTCTCTCTTCTATCAGTCTCCAAGTGTCCGTAGTGAGCCACTGTTTGTCCTGTCTCTTCCTTCTGCCTAGAACTTCCATGCAGGTTTGGCTCCACACTGTGTTCAAGTTGTTCCAGTGTTTTTCGACGCTGACCTCTTCGCCAGTGTTGATTTGTGTCTCGGCTTTGTCTTTTATACTTGCAGTGAAGATGTCCTTTGTGTCCTCGTCCTTCAGTTTTTGAGTGTTGAACTTGGCTTGTGGTCTATCTGCAGCCCCTGATTCTCTGAAAGTTTTTAATTTGATTTGGATTGTCCCTTGTACGAGATAGTGGTCTGAGCCAACGTCTGCTCCTCTTCTCACTTCTGTGTCCAGTAGGCTGCGCCTCCATTTCCTTGAGATTGAGATGAAGTCGATTTGGTTTTTGGTTCGCCCGTCTGGTGACACCCATGTAGCCTTGTGGATATCCTTGTGTTTATATACGCTGCCACCAATCACTAGTTCATTGAAGGCACAGAAGTCGGCGAAGAGTTCTCCGTTTTCATTCATTTCTCCGAGAGCTTCTCTACCCATGATGAGTTTCCTTCCTGTTTTGTCTGATCCCAGTTTGGCTTTCATGTCTCCCATTAGTATTTTGATGTCACCAGCTGGAGTATTGTCCATTGTTGCCTGTAGTTGTCTGTAGAATTCTTCTTTCTTTTCGAGGTCTGCGTTGTTTGTCGGTGCATAGTATTGTATAACTGACACTTTCCTTCCTTTGGTGTTGAATCTGGCGGTTATTATCCTGGGTGAGATCGCCTCCCATTGCATGAGCGCCTTCTTTGCCGTTGGTGACATCATGATAACCACACCCTCGGTGTACATGTGGTTATCTTCTGGGTGACCGGAGTAGATTATACACTCTCCCGTTGACACTTTGGTGAGTCTACTCCCATTCCATCTGCTGTCGCATATTCCCAGTACTTGAATTCTGTATCTTTTCATCTCGTTTTCAATCTGGGCAGCTTCACCAGTTTCGTATATGGTGCGGACGTTCAATGCCCCCACATAGACTTCTTTTTTCGCGAGGAGACTCATCGTGCTCAAGTTTCTGTAGCAACTTTGTTTACAGGGTGGGGTTGCTAGCCTCACATCTTAGAAGGGGGTTGTTACATTAATATATAGTTTCCAGAAGAGTGACTTTTTGAGTTGCTCCCCTTAGAATCAGGAAATCAAGAAATAAAGCAATGAGGACAACACAAGCCAAAGGAAAACAGATTTACAACAGGAAGGGCAGCGATAACTACAATAAAAGAACCGTAGCAGTAGTATCACTGTCAAAAAAAAAGTTGACAAAAATGATATCAAAACCATAGACTCACTGACTTGGGTCAAATTGAGTAAGTCCAACAATATATGCTATAATGGATACTAGATAATGTTAAACAGTCACAAAATAGCAAACAGATAGTTATAGGTATTATCGGTCAACAAGATTATACCCACAGATTCAGTGTTCGAAAGTCAAATAATTGCAGTAAATTTCATGACTTCTTGTCAAGAAGCGCCAAAGAAATAAGAGTTTTATGTAACTGAGCAAATGAAGCATACTAATCGAAAAGCGCGTCAAGGTTCGTTCGCAATCACACCACAATTTACTGAGGACGTTTTTAAGACTATTATTAATCATATTAAAATGTAATTTTATGATTGTGTATTTACTCTTGTTCTAATTGTTTTAGTCGTATTATTAATAAAATTCCCCGTAAATTCGTCATTCTGCCTTGAATGTTGGTTTCGGTGACCCTTTCCTCTCTTATTTAAGACCATTAGTCTATAGGAAACATGAATGAATCTTTTTCCAAACCATCCATTTTTATGAGGACACAATAAAGATCCCGTTTCAAATGACTGGTTAACAGTCCAGTTCTCTAGGTTTCGCATGATAATGTGAGAAGAATATTTGTGTGTTTCTATCACAAACAGCTATATATTGAATTCAGTGAGTAACAGTCTTCCTATCCCAGATTGAGGGTAAACAATATACAGCTAAGCTACTTGGATACATCGGAATAAATGTATCCAAATTGCTAGTTCACTCATGATTCTGACTTTTGAGTAACTCATTAACACATCTCATGCTGTCAGTCCTATCCAACCCATACTACAATGAAAGTGGTATAACTGACACAACAAGTAGATTTCTAAAAAATTAAAACAGTATTGACGTACTAATGGCTAATAATAAACTGTTAGGGCATTTAAACACACTAAAATTAATGTGTTCTAAATCTAGTTGACTAATAACCCTATCTTAATAGTATAGAAACATGTCTTAACAGTCAGCCTTGTCTCTGTATGGGCACTAATTACACGCTAATACAGTCTAATAACTGAAAAACCAGATACAGTAAAGATCCCCACTTAAAGATAAGGGGAAGAACAAGGCAAACAAGAAAATGTATTTACTTTTTAACTAGATCATCGCCAATGTCTCAAATCTAACACATGGCATTACGTTAATACGATCAATAATACACCTACCTAGTAATCTTAGATTTGTTAAGATAATCATTCATCAATATCAATAGGTAAAAATGGATTAACTCCGTCAATAAACAACAACAAGGGAACAGTTAAAGAGTTGAAACACAATTACACTGTAAAATTATGAAAACTAAAACATAGTGCACATCTTATCTCATGAAGAATAAGAGTGAATGATTAGTCAGCGCTTAAATTTAACTATGTTAGAATAATAAGGGGTGAAAAAAAGTAAATTAATAAGACTCTAAAAATCCTTCTCTCTGTTATCTACCGGGTACCAAATAAAATGCCAGAAACATCCAAGTACCGCGAACACCAAACAGCAGAGGCTATCGCGATTCTCGTGAAACAGCCAGTGCTTTGTGTGCAAAAGAACCAAGTCCAACCAGCCACTAGTGCTAGCCTGGTCTTCAGTGTAGACTATAAACTCATAAATTTGTATTGTTATCTTTCTTAATTTTTCTGATATTTAGTGTGTAGTGTTATGTTGATGCTGATGAACTGTAATCTATTGATATTATTATTGATTCGATGTCATTTAAACAACATTAATGTTGGAAATAATAATAGTTTGTAATTAGAATAAAGGTGGAGGGGAAATTGCCAAGAATCTATCACCCAGCAAATATGCAGAAGGAAATCTAGACAGATTTGACACAATCTGAGGAGATTGTTGAGTGGCCTCACATGTCAGGCCTTAGAATGGAACCTAAGTGGGAAACATCAAGTTAGGCGTCGCTTCGAGGGTGACATGGAGGAGATAATGTTAGGAGAAAATGAAAGCTTATAGCTAATCGTGGAGCCAGCTAAAAACCGAATGTACAGAACAAAGTAAAGTGGAGATGTGCTGCTAAGGCCCTATGTTCCACTCGGAACCTTAGAGAATAATAATATATATTTTGGGTTATGCAGACAACCAAGATAAAATAGGTGACTGTATTAATCTTTCCTGAACTCACAGGTTTGCTTTTCTGAGGTGAATTCTGATGACTTCCACTATGTGTAAAAGACGAACATGTAAAGTAAAATTAAGCGCAAGTTTTGGTTTGAGGGGATTTGATTGATTTCAGGATTTCATCATGAAGTGACATATGTCAGAGGACCTTTGGAAAACCTGGGAGTACTGGACAGCTGTTTCGTCAGCCTAGTTTGGGACTCTTCACCAGTACGCTTATTAAGAATGTGATGAATAAGTCAAAAAGGCTTTGTCAGTAATACGTCTGTTTTGAATATCTGTAAGATGTTTTACTGTGAATCAACTCCATCACTGACCTAACCAAGTAGGATGAATTTGCAATGCCGTATTTATTCATAAAGGCAGTCAGGTGTAGTCGAGAGGTGTCTCAGATATTTACTTTGGTATGCATCTCTTATTCAATTAGCGTTGATGTATCAGCATAATAAAGTAGAAGAGTAAGACAATATTCATAGGTCGACAATCTATCAGTTTAAATTTGTGCCTAATATTACAAAAAAAAATGAATAGCTGCAGAAGTACTATGTAGCTTTCAATTTTGCTTCTTTTTATTTGTCATACTTCTTTTTTTAGGCATCTCCGGTTTCTCAGGCTAAAAATGGTTTCACCCCACTGCATATAGCAGCTGAGAAGCATTTAGTAGATATTGCTAAACTACTGATTGCAGCTACTGGTGATGACAAAACTAAAAATGAAGGTCAAAATAACGATGATAATGGTTGTTGTAATATACAATCACGTAATGGTTTTACACCACTACACTTAGCGTGTCAAGATGGTAATGAAAAAATGACAAAGTTATTGATAGATTCAGGAGCTAAGGTGAATGCTTTAGCTAAAGTAAGTTCTTGTTTGTAATAATATGAGTGTTTGCATTGTTTATAACCAGTCTTTCTTTATTATTTTTTTCTTTACCTTATCAACATGATTGAAATTTAAGAGTGTGAAATATTCCCATATAGTGGATTACAAGTCGATCTGAACGAAGGACATTTTTTTCAATGAATTCTCTTCAGGTTATTGGAGTTATAAAATAATAATAATGTTCTTTATCTTAACAATAATAGCCAGTTATGCCACGAATGCATTTTTACGAAGAATAACAGATTAATAGTTATACTTATAGAGTGATAAAATAAATATCATTTGTGTGACGAACGTGCTGGATTGAATGCAATTGCAAATGCGAGACGATTATGACGGAGATTAGTCACCAATGATAGATTCATACAATTTGGGGAATGAAAATTGATAAGTCAGTTCAACGTTGTAAAATGCACTGAGTGAGTATGCGTTACAAAGGAGAAAATAAGACTGTAGACTGTACAACTTCACCACTGTGGTAGTGTGTAATTCGATAATAATTTGTTTATTAGATGTATCACAATGAAACAGTATCACTTACTGGATGACGTTGCAAAGACAATTTACTGTTCGTAATCATATCAGTTGTAATCACACAACTTCGAAAATTGTTTTTTATTCTTTCCTATTTGTCGTAGGGGTAGCAGAATTTTCCAGATGTCTGGGACAGATGTCGAGTCATTCCTATTAGACGTGTTTGCAGGAGATTCGATACCTGTCCCAGACATGTGGAAAATTTTGCTACCCCTACGACAAATAGGAAAGAATAAAAAACAATTTTCGAAGTTGTGTGATTACAACTGATATGATTACGAACAGTAAATTGTCTTCGTAACTGTGATACATCTAATAAACAAATTCATATGGAGACTATAGTAAATAGTTCATCATGAAATAATTAATGTGTGAAATGAAGTAAGGGGGGTCACATATTCAGAAAAGTAGTAATAATAATAAGTAGGAATAGCATCAATCACAAATTGGGTCGTACTGAAAGAATGTTAGAATGAAGGGTATAGATCATAAAAAAGTTGTGGCTAAGACCGTCTACAACCTTGAAATGGCTTGCTACTTTCCCTTCCCCCTATAGTATGAATCTATTACCCATGACTAATCAGCATCAGTGCCTCCCATTTCCTCATCCACACCTACTTTTAATATGATTGAGAAATGTAGCAACTACAATAAAAATCCTGAGTTTACAATAAGGTTCATATGGAGGAAATTTGATTGAACGAATTTTAGACTAGTTGACTAACACATTTGATACTTATACACTTGATACTTATTTTGAATATTTTACTTTGGGGAAGGAAAATCTGAACTCCCTATAAGCTTTAAAAATAAAAAAAATAAAATCTACGAGATCGCCTTGTAACCGGAAGGTCCTGGGTTCGAACCCCGGTGGGTGCGCACTGATGAAGAGTCCCAAACTGAGACGAAACAGCTGTCCAGTACTCCCAGGTTTTCCAATGGTTCTCTAACCAATGTCACCTCATGATGAAATCCTGTAAAAAAATGTATTATCATATTTGTCACATGCGAATTGATGTCTTTTCCATATGACAACGTACACTCACACACTCATACAAAACTAATCCTTACAAACCAACTATAGGAAAAATATGTATACATAATTACAATTTGACATTACTCATTACAAATAAATGATGACTGCTTACATATTTCTATTGGTACAAATATCTATGTTCAAGTGACCTTCAAATAAACTGACTTCAATTTACGTACAAAATTTTTGACTATATATTTTGATGAATAATAAACTAGGATGAAACAGCAGCTGTCCAGTACTCCCTGGTTTTCAATGGTTCTCTAACTGATATCAGTCCGTGATCAACTCGTAAAACATAACTAATCTTTACAAACCAAACTATAGAGAATAATAAAACCCGAATAAATCTGATGAATAAGCTGTGGCTTAAAAAATGAAACGTTCCGAAAAATCTTTTGATTTTTTCTTAAACACTCTGGGATTAATTTAAATAATTTATGATGAATATATATTAGTTCGTTTATTAAATGTATCACACAGTGAAACAGTATTATTTACTGGATGACGTTTCGAACAAAATTTATTGTTCATAATCATATCAATTATAATCACATCACTTCAAAACTTGAGTTTTATAGTCTTCTTTGTTCCCTCCTATTTGTCGTAGGGTTAGTCGGATTTTCCAGATATCTGGGACAGGTGTTGAATCATTCCTATTACACGTATTTGCGGTTGATTCGATAAACAAAGCTTCTGTTATCAATCTCCCCCTCCACCCTGTGATATTAGATTTTAAAGCTGTCATCCTATCTCATCCTATTGTATGGTTGTGTGTTAGTGCATGTAGTGATATAGCTGATCTATTCTCTAGATTTCTTATCTTATTCGGGTCAACCAATCTAGATTTCGCTAGGTTTTTATGATCGGCTAGTCTGATTGCCCTTGTTCTACTAGTTGGACCTATGTATTTGACCTGACAATCATTGCAGGCAGGGTATTAGATAAACTAAATTGTTTTGTTTTAAAGGCTCCACAGGACACTTTAACCGACAAAGCTTGTTTCTAATGGAGGTTACGGTTTTGAATGCCACTTTCATTTCTGCCTTCTTAAGAATTCCACGTAAGGTTTCCGGGGTTCCTTCCTTGTATGGAATTACTGCTGATGATTTAGATTCCTTATTGTTGGTGTTGTCTTGCGCATGTTTGACATGCATGTCGTCGTTAATATTACCATTATTATTAGTATTAGTATTAGTTTTATCACTATCACCACTATCATTATTTATTTTAGTTTTACATTTCCCTATATACTTCCTGACTAATTTATCAGGGTAATTATTAAGTTTCAAGGCATCTCCTATATGCTTCACTTCCTGTCTTAGATTTTCCTTGGTACTACTTAGTTTCTGTGCTCTATTATTTAAGCATTTCACCAATCCTATTTTCACTGACATACGATGGGATGATCGGAAGTCTAAATATCTGTTTGAACGTGTGGGTTTCCTGTAAACATTAGTGTTTAACTTCCCATCTTCTTTCCTTTTTACGCTACCACCTAACATTGGAAGTTTCCCTTCCTGACTTTCCAGCTCATAAGTGAATTGAATTGCCTCCACCTTTGAGTTAATGTGTTCGAAAAATCTATATATATCCTGTGTTCTAAGTACAGTGAATGTGTCATCTACATACCTCCACCATACTTTTGGGGTGGGGGTGAACGTTTCAATTGATATTTTTCCCACCTATCCATGAAAATATCTGCCATGATCGGGGATATTGGTGACCCCATGGCAACTCCCTCAGTTTGCTTATCTATTTTCCCCTTAAATTTAAATACTGTGGAAGTCAGGCATAGCTGTACTTCCAGCATTATGTCCTCAAGTGGCACTTTCGTCCTAAGTTCTAGTTCTTGGTCAGAAATGAGTTTGTTTCTGACTGCTTCTATAGCCATATTTATTGGTATACGTGTATATAAACTGACAATGTCAAAACTAACCACTTTTTCTTCATTATAGCATAAAAACCTAGCGAAATCTAGATTGGTTGACCCGAATAAGATAAGAAATCTAGAGAATAGATCAGCTATATCACTACATGCACTAACACACAACCATACAATAGGATGAGATAGGATGACAGCTTTAAAATCTAATATCACAGGGTGGAGGGGGAGATTGATAACAGAAGCTTTGTTTATCGAATCAACCGCAAATACGTGTAATAGGAATGATTCAACACCTGTCCCAGATATCTGGAAAATCCGACTAACCCTACGACAAATAGGAGGGAACAAAGAAGACTATAAAACTCAAGTTTTGAAGTGATGTGATTATAATTGATATGATTATGAACAATAAATTTTGTTCGAAACGTCATCCAGTAAATAATACTGTTTCACTGTGTGATACATCTAATAAACAAACTAATATGGAATTACTTACTAATTGAGTGCCCAAGTTTTACAAATATATGAAAATGTGAACTCCCTAGTTGATGGATGATTTGCAGGATCATATTACATACGAAATGAGCGATAGTAGCTTAGATCTTTATGCATCCTTCTCTGGATGTCTATCTAAATATTTTTGGGTTGCACAGCCTTGCAATCACATTATGCACTGAATGACAGGATTCATACCCTCCCTGCCGTTAGATCAGTGTGCTAATACCGAACACGACCGTCCTACCTGGAATACCTGTTTCGCTGAACCTGAAAAATATCGGAAGATGAAAACTGGTCTGACTGTAAGAACAACTTCACTACATGATATGTTTTTCCGATACACATAAAATACTCTAGGTCAGTGGTTTATGAACTAATTTGATTGGTTGTATAAGGTCAGGTATTTGGTATCAGGTTATCCAATAGGATTATCATGTCCACACAACATCATAAATTTGCAATTGAAGCACAAAATCTCCTACCTCATCAGTTAATGGCTTTTGGTGACTTCGTATCGCATTGATTCTTAATGGCTTTAGGATCACAGACAAATGAACTACCTCTATTCAAGTGATATAGCCCAATAATAAATAAACTCATAGATTAATGGTATGTTTTGATCTGATCACTTTTAACCCTTTTGAAGGATAATCATACTTCAGATTACATTGATTGCAAAGTTCTATGTCCAAAACCGACCGACTGACTGATTACCGAAGAACGTGGTAACTCATAATAAATAAAGCATGTTACTGCCATTCCATTATTGGTAAAATTTATTTTGATAAAGTCTCTATCAAAATAAATTTTACCAATAATGGAATTATACTATACCACAGTGCACAAGTTTTATTCTTATATCAATGTTACTGCCATATCAATCGATGAATTGATATCACATGGTGTTTCCGAGGCTTCTGATGCATTCCTAATTAGCAAAAGATCGGATGATTAGTGGTTCCTGAATTTTAGTGCATATGCAACTTCAAAATTTTAGTTGAACGACACCGTTATAAAAATAATAATCTACTTGAACTATGTGGCAGTCTCAGACAACTCATAATTTACTTGAAATCTCTTGAAAATTATGCACAATATGATTATGTACTGTAAAAAATCATTTTGAATTGATTGAAGGCTGTCTACTGGAAACTTCGAAAGAGTCAGATTATTAGACAAAGAACGTCAATCTTTTTGATTTAAATCGCAACCATCCACCTGAGTTACAAATCTCCGTTACATCAAGGCATATTCCGAATCTTTGACATCAAAATTCCGAGAGATAAATGCGAATAGATTGTTAATAGATAATCAGTGGGAACATCATCACTCACTGTGGAATGCAGGTACATCCAGTGACGAGTCCCAAATAGGACGAAGTGCGCATCCTGGATTCCACTGTTAGTCACCATCCAACAATTAAGTTTGTGGGTTGTTATAGCTGAATAAAGCAAATATAAGGTTTTTTAAACAAATGCAATAAGAAGGGGTGGAGAGAATTTATACACACAGGTTGGAAAGTCATAACTAAAAGGTGCGATGTAATACAGTATTTACGAATTTATGGATTCCGCAGGAGGCCAGGTCAGTAGTAGTGGTTGAACCTGTTTCCTTTGCCTGTGAAGTTCCTGTTGCTTTAAGTAAATTACAATAGCCTCTGCCGTTTAGAGTATTCTGTACCCATAGACTTTTAGCAATTTATTTGATACCCGACAGATGATAAAAAAAGATATTTTATGTGCTGTTTGGACCATGTGATCTAATATCGAACTACACCTTTATTTAGCCACACTGATAGGTATTCTCAAGCACAAAGAGCTAAGTTCCTAGGGTAACGGCCACCATTACTGGCTCCCCAAGAGTAGTGTAATTGATAGGTAATAGAAGAGATGTCAAATCTAGGTACTTCGTCTTTCAGTTGAGAAATCACAACCAGTTGTGTGAAAAATATGGACTGCAGTTTACTGGCACTATAAGTTCTTCGAATCAATTTCTGTAACTTGGTTGTTATTTCTCTTGGTACGTCACCTTTGAATTTCATCTAGAGAGGCTTCTTGTTTACAAACAAATAACAGCTGTTTTTGACTTTCCTGCCCATGTGTTTCCTAATGAATTAAGGTGTCATATACGGTCTTAAGTTCACTTCTCATCACATCTGAACATTTAGCTCATCCTGCAGCTGAGTTTTCTTACCAAATTTCTTTTGTAGTGCAGAGTGGAAATGTGAATACTGTCTTGGACAAGTAATTTTTTATGCACATTTCTTCTTATGTCACCATTTGGTTTTCTTGTTGCAAGGACATCAAAGAAGACAATTTTCCTTATGGATTCTTCTACACATGTGAATTCGATTTTATTTATTCGATGTTATTTGAAACAGTAAAGTTGTTAGTAATAGTAACTCTTCAACTACTGCTGATATATAGCTCTAGAACCTGATGGAAAAGTTATCGAAAAAAATATTCGTTGTTCACTAATCAGTATTTTAGAAATTTCTCTTGAATTCATTGCAATTAATGAGTTTATTAAATCCTACTCTCTATTTGACGATAATGGTTTTTTAAGAACTGTTTCTCAGAATTCATTCTCATTGTTGTACAGTCTGTCAAACACAGCAAAAAGGGATAGAAAATAGAAATGAATTACTTTCTCATTTTGTGTAAATCATAGAAATATTTCGAAGTAGCGAAGATTACTCAAATTGTAACCGAGACTATGAACATTAGTGATTTCAGGTTATAGATCTAGTATTATACGAAAACGTTCGGAAAACATTCGGGTATTAGCGGGAAGACCATAGACACAGGTATCAAAAATTATTGCGTAAGTGGTAAGCAGGGTGAACGAAAAGCTAGTAAAGGAAATGACACTAATAGATCCATAATGATTTATTTATGAGATATATGTGTTTAAGATCTCAGGGTTTCTGCCTATATCTTCTGTCTACGGTTGAAGCTCTTGCTATATACAAGGAAATCCCTAAACTGTGTATACAAAAGCTATTTGTTAAGTCCATTTTAATCCCCTAGCCTTAAACCTTTTTTTTAGCTTGTACATCAATTCGTTGTTTTCCTTCTTTAATTTCAGCCTCCTTACTTTAAATATATTTTATGAATCTCTCACTCTTAATATGAACAATATTCTTGTTCCCCAGTAAAATTACGAAAAGAATATCCCTACTAACCTGTCTTTTCAATTTATTTAGATTGACAATCATTCAGCTTGAATTCTTGATTCCTTTTTAATAAGGATTAGTCTTTGGATTGTTGTTTGACACTTATCGAATGCACTAACAAAGTTTTCTTTTGTTACACAACATAACAGCTTCTCCGTGATTTAAACAAGTTGTCATCAACACTGTAACTAGAGGTAACAAGTTTTGTTCACTTCCCCTAAGCAACAAGCTCGCTGAAGAAGGTACAAAGCCATCAGTATTGTAAATAAATTCTTTTAGGACGGATCAGAAAATTTTACAGTATAGTTATCCTGAGGAGATAAGCTAACGATCTCACATAAGAGATTTGTCATAACGAGAATTTTTAGACATAATGCCTCTAATTTTTACCGCTAAATCCCTGATTTTAAACAGGAAGTGAATGTTTTTTTTCTCAGCTTACTAATATACCCCTTTGATTAATGTCAGTAAGGAGGAGGAGACGTAGACTAAGTTAATCAATTCTAACACAATTACCTACTGAATTTCACAAAACACATACTGTTTTGATGATTCAAAGAACTTGTGGTTTCATGAAAATGTTATATTAGATTATGAAGTCGCATGCACCTAGTCAGTGATTTTGTAAAAATACCCTTATATTTGAAGAAAACATATTTGACTTCATAGCTTTCTTTGATTAAGTGAAGCAACAACTTCCAGTTTTTGACTGTTGTTACATTCTCTCTTTCATTCCTTATAGAACGGCCTTACAGCTATGCATTTAGCAGCTCAGGAGGATAGTGTTAAAGCTGCGGATTTACTGTTTGCTGCTGGTTCTGAATTAGATGTTAAAACAAAAGCAGGTTATACACCTTTGCATACAGCCTGTCATTTTGGTCAAGTAAGTTAAAATGTCTATGACGATGGTTGTTTTTTGCAATGTCTACTGGCGTTTTACACAAGAGTGAAACAGATTGTATTTAATTGTTTTGGAACTAATTTTTGTATTTTGAATATACTAAGAGAAATTCGCTCTAAATAATGCATTCATTCTGTGTGTCATCACTCGACAGTAGTTTTATATAAGAAATAAGGCAGACATCTAATTTGACCTATGAAATTGGCCTGATTAACAGTTTCTATTAAGTGAGCTGGAGCCCTGGCTAGTGTGTGTTGACTGTTTGAAACTGCATGAGGAATTTGGATCCAACTTAGCGGTATAAGTAACAAGAAGGCTTCATTAAGATTTAAGCCTTTGTTGTGATCCATTGCTAGATGCATGAATACGTACATTTCTTCCTAAATTGCACTAGAATTATATCATATTCTCTTAAAATATCTTCCGAAGTACAAATATCATCATTATGACAAAAAATTATTACTCAGTCCAATAAAATGAAAGAAATCCTTTTTTAATGAAGAATAAAGATTTTTTGAATGGATAATATATTATGTATACATAGTTCATACCATCGTCTCAATGAAAACTTAGCTGTACTGTTTAACTTGACTGAAAAATTCACCTAAGGTAAGAATGAAATTTAGGCGCCAAGAGATAAATTACCTTTGGAAACCAGTGGGTTAATACTTCATCCCAAATGAGATTATGAGTTGCATAATTTATAATGCCTGGTGATGATGCTCAAAATCATCAAGATTTAAAATTTGCAACATTCAAGGAACATATTGTGTTTATGGGCTATTTATGGTTTCGAAAATGATAGGGGTCATAGCACACTAATGAAAGCCTTCTACTAAGGTGAATCTCAGCTTGTTGTCCCTGCGGTTGAAGCGTATAACATAGATAGGGAGATTTGATAAAGTTTTAATTTTTCGTAATCACTCAACAGCTAGTTCACTTCTTTATTCTCTTTCTTGCAGGTTAATATGGTCCGATTTCTTTTAGGTAAGGGTGCTGATGTGAATGCTGTTACATGCATGGGATCAAATGCTTTACATTTGGCTGCACAGCAAGGCCATTCCACAGTTATATACGTTCTGCTAGAAAGTGGTGCCAACCCAAATATGCGTAATAAGGTAATTGATCAATTCGAAATGAAACATTCGCGCACACTTATCATTTAACGTTAAGTGGTACTAATTCTTTTTTATCACCAAGTTATGTTAATCTGATAACCAACTAAAGAAAATTACAAAATACTTCATGACACTCATCCTGTTCCTAGAAAACTCTTTCACAATAATCAAACCCAGACGATAATAAGTGAGTCTTTAGATTCGGAAAATAATTTCAGCAGTGCCAATACAAAAAAAACAACTATAAATTTAAAATGTCGACCTGACTATTATTTTCTGAAACTGAATTGGAATGCATCACATATTAGAAAACTTCCAAACACTCGTCTCCATAACAATAATAACAAAAGCCCAACTACCTCAAAAAAGATTCCTTAAAAAGACAGCCATTTAGAAAATTCACAACCAAAAGGCATTTATAATGATAACACTGGCAGATATATCAGATTTCAAGTGAATCCAATTCAAGGATATTATAGATGACTGTGCATAAATATGCCCTAACTAAAAAACGATGTGCCGAAAGTAGGTATCACATTCAACGAGGTAAACGGTAACAGCAAATCGCTTCTGGGCTTCCCACTTTTATTTTATCAAGTGTATATATCATACTCAACGTTTCTGTCTATGTCTCCAGATTCTAACCACAGTAGCAGAAGAAGATTTATTTTATCATCTTCAACGAAATTTGAGTTATTTTTTTAAGGATTCCTTCGACCTATTACTGTGTATGATTTCTAAAAGATGGATGATGGTGAGCAAGATGGTGCGATCTGATAAAAGGTATAAAGATAGATAGTGACAGTGTAAAAACATATTTACTCACTAATATAGGGGATAAAACAAATAGTAAACATCAAGCGTTAACATAAGTTTTAACAAAAATGAATTCAAGACTGACCACTTATTGACTTCAGTTAGAGAAGGATTGGAATCCAAGGAGTACTGAACAGCTGTTTTATTCTAGTTTCGGACTCTTCAGTAGTACGCAAACATGATCCCACCGGGGATCAAATCCAGAACTTTCAGGTCACGGAGCGAACTTGTTGACCATCCAGCTGCTGAGATGGAATACAATGATTCACCAATTCCAACGTCTGCCAACTGGTGATATATAGTGCGGCCGCTAACCACTGTCATCGATTAGACTGACCTAATAGTATACGAGCTCGCTTTGTAACCTGAAAGTTCTGAGTTCGATCCACAGTGGGATCATGTGTGAGTACTACTAGAATGTCCCAAAATAGGATAAGACAGTTTTCCAATACTCCTTGGATTTCACTGGTTGTCTAACTGAAGTCAGTTCGCCATCAGTCTTGAGATCAATCAAATCCCCTCAAACCAACACTTGAAAAACCGATTATTGTTGTTGTTATACAGCAGGAAATCTTGATGACTAATGAGTTATACATGGTATTATGGTACATAAAGTTTATATGCATATTTAGGTTATGTCAAATTTTTCAGTCTCTACTAACATCTTTCACTTCATTATCTGAAGTGGATATTGGAGTTATTGAAGGTGGTAATTCTCTCATGAAGCTATTTGTATTCATTTACAAAAGCTTTTATACGAGAACATTTTATATAGATAGAGTTTTTCAAGTATTGGTTTTAGGAGGGATTTTGTTTGATTGGTTGAAGGATTTCATCATGAGCTGGCATCAGTTAGAGAACCATTGGAAAACCTGGGGATACTGGACAGCTGTTTCGTCCCAGTTTGGGACTCTTCAGTAGTACCCACTCACCGGGGCTCGAACCCAGGACCTCCTGGTTACAAGGCGAGCTCGTAGACCATTAAGCCACTGGGACTTGATCCAATGACCCATGAATTCTAACTTCTGCCAATTCATGACATAGCGCAACCACTTCGCAATGTCTTCTTCAATGAGTTACTGCTTCGCCTTCAACCTGTTGCACCCTACTGGTCACGGCTTCACACTAGAACCTCAGGTAGATAGATTTGTCATTCCATTTGTAGACATGTTTGTGTTTATTATATTTACTTTCTAATGCGAACACATTTTTATATGTATCGAGGTGAAAAGATTGTTTCAGAAAATGAATAAAAATTTTAAAAATGTTCAGTTGATCACGTTTATTCCTGTAAAATATTTTTGAAATGGACATAGTAGGTAATAATATGTGTGTATGTGTATGTATGCATGGTGTAGCCTTTCTAAGTGTACTTTAAACATAGTGCTTTATTGACATTTTTGGAGTGTTTATGTTCACAATATGATCATAAAGGTCAAATAAGAATAAAAAGAATTGTAAAAGGTCTTTGTTGTGTTCACCATTGTAGATCTTACATCCAACTTGATTAAGCTCAGTACTTGCAAGTTTGACTCATAACGTACTGTAATTATGCAGACTTATCATTCAGATCCAGTCGCTATAAAGTTACATGTAGTATGCTGTCTTATAACACAAACTATCTCATGAATAAATAAAAAATAATGTGTAATGTGCTATGGCTAAAGGTAAAATGAAACTGATTCTCTGCAGGATTTTAAACACCGACTCCCGAATTACTAGTCCAGTGCTGAACTGAACTACTTAATCATTTCGTCATTTCAATGCGATCCCCTCACTGGTTTTCATGTATAAATTGTACCATAGATGTGTATCAATCTGTTAAATAGTAATCTGATTTGAAAACTTAATTGTTTCACTACAAAGCAAAATTCTTATAATTGCTATTAATAAACGTGAATATTTTATAGCTTGAAATGTTACACTTCTACATAAGCATTCATATCATTTTCTTTGTTTACTTCCTTTTGCTACTTGGTTAGGAAAATTCATAAACCACATAGTATATGTATGAATCATAGTTACTTTCACAAAGTTTTTGAGTGATTATGACAGTTAGGAATTTACGGGTCATCGGATTTTAGTCCTTTGGATAAATGATAAACAGGATCCGTTCATGATCTGAGGGACCTGAGTTCACTCCCTGGTTGCTCACTGCTGAAGAGTCACAAACTATGGTGAAACAGTTGTCCTGTGCACAATGCTTTCTAGTGATCCTATAACTTATGCTAGCTCGTGAAGAAATCTACACGGAGACGTTTCAAATTTCAATGAATGTAACGACTAGAATGATATTGAAAACATTATAAACGACCACTAGGTAGAATAACAAATATATCCAAATGTTTACAATTTGACTCATCCTCGTTTTCCGCCATTTCAAAGTTAGAAGGGATGACATGTTTAAAGATTCAGTAGATTATGACATTGTTATTTAGGGACACTATATATTCATATACTGCTTTCCTTTCAGAAAGACAAATCGAACTTGCCCCTCTCTCTGTAATATATTTCCATCGAGATTCAATTCTACAGAGTCCTCATTTCATTAAGAAGTTATGTCTGTTGGATTTAGAGAACTTCAGAAGACGTATGAAACGATTTCTCTTTCAGTCTTGTCAGCATGTTCACGTAACATTGATTAAGGGAACAGAAACACCCTGTTAAAAACAAATAGTCTTGACTATTGATCCATTTATCCGAAAGTATTCAAGTGTTGGATTGTACAGGCTTGCTTGATTGCAAGTTTGATCACGGATTAATATCAATTAGAGAAGCAAATCGTTTCTGTGCTTTCCACTTTTATTTTATCAAGGGCTATCCTCCGTTGTCACAAATATATGGAATCTGAGCAATAAGAAGCGCGAACATCTTGTCGATAATGATCACCCCATCTCTATGGCCTCCGTCTTTAAACTCATCTTCAACGCGAAAAGTAATTCACAGAAATCACTACGTAAGCTGCTCGTCTGTATTGCTGAAGCTTCGGCTATCGAAACAGAAAAGCGAGAGCTCTGTGTACACAAAATTTTAGTTCAATCCCCTCAACTTTCATGGTGTTTTCACCTTTAAGCTAAAGTGTGGTAATCCCTAGTCATATTTTGGCGCTACCAATTTTTCATTTTGTCCATTGAGTATGTATGCTCTTCCTTTATTACGTTAATTGTTACCATTACTATTCTCACTCTGAACTGTCCCCGGTATTATTTCACTTGTTTACTTGTCTTTCTAAATCAGTTATTTTTTACAACGTTAAATTCTATGCTATCAAATTTCACACAATTTTACGTAACGTTTTTATTTTATTCGATTTGTCTACTTCTCTTTTTAACTCAGTCTCACTAATCAGTCTTTTGATTATAGGGGATTCAACAGTTTAATACGTAACACGAAAACAAAATGTGCACATCAATCTCGTGTTGTTTAAACTACTGATATCAGTGTAAATCCAGCCAATAAATTTCATTTAACACTTGAAGTATTAATAAACTGCATTAGTTAGCTCCAACTACTGCCCTCATCTACATCTGTCACTCCTATGTAGGATCAGTTTTGACCCCATTAGCTGAAGAGTAACGTTGTTTACTTCAGCACTGAGTAACACAGATTTGAGAAACCATGAGTTTTGAGATATACGTTATGGATGAGTGTTGACAAGCCTAGGATCAGGATAGGAGATTTGCATCTTAACGACGGACTCCTAGTATCTAACTATAAAGCGTGCATTCTACTACTGATTAAACGGACGAATATCCTATTTATATGGAAGATGGTGACTAGCAGTGCGATTCAGGATCCTCATTTCATTCTATTAGGGACCCGTCAACTGAATGTATCTGCTATTTCCAGTGTATGAAGGTATTGCCGAGTTCAAAATAGGATGAAATGGGCATTCTGGATTCCACTGCTATTCACCATCGACAAAATAGCATCAGCCTCCATTATAGATAGCATTTTATTTTGAAAAATCACGCAGTTTTATACAGTAATATTAACTGATGACATTTCGAGCACAAACTATTGCTCATAATCATATGGAGTTATACTCTACCACAGTGACCAAGTGTTATACTTATATCAAAATAGTATCACGTTATTCTTCAGATACTGTCGGACCATCTGTACTAAGAATTGACAAGTCAACAGAGCATTTTGGTCGGATGCAATCAATCAAAAGGAGATACAAAACTAACTTAAATACACTATTTGGCTTATTTCGAAGTTTCAAACAAATACGTTTTTCCGCGAATGAAAATTTAAAATCATATTTTATTTCATTTTGTCTTCAATTTATCACTTCAATGTGTTAACTTATTTCAACATGACACCACGACATTATCATTAGTGCTTAAAGAATTTTGTGAACTTGAAGGAGTAAACTTACTCTTTTCCGTACTATGTATGTTAGTGTATTAGGAAATATTTTGTAGAATAGCTTTCTAAGATAGTTTCCTTGAGAAACTCTGGCTTCTGTAGTCCTCTGAAACTCATTCGGATGAAGTAGATATGAGACTGAATTATTCTAGTTATGAGTTTCAGAAGTAGTATTATCTAACTTCGACAATAACCTGCATAGAATTATACTTGTATTTTATTATTTTGGGAAAGGATGCATTGAGCAGACAAAAATACGTTAAATTAATGGTGTCCTTCCTGCTAGCATCAGTACTATATACAACAATTTGTAATACGGTTAAATTTTATACTTTTGAAATCATGCTCGAGCAGTATGAGTAACTGGTAAGTTTTAAAACTTAATAAAGAATTTAACAACAATTACTTTTATTTCTTTAATAACATATTCACTATTATGGTACTGCATAAGTTCCTCATCCGATGTTTTTATAACACCTATAGTATGGTTGGACACCAGCTCACGTCGCTCGTCATCAGCATTACTTAAATATATTCGAAGCACTGCGTCAGGTGACCGCCTGTGTAGAATCGTGGGAGGAGGAAAATACTGATGAATTACCAATGAATGCAGAATTAAATGCATCTATCATTTCTGGTCAAGAGCATACTTCGTCACTAAATAGACAACAGTATACTTCATCAAATCGACTTGGTCTTGAGCATCCAGATATGATGAGAGATAATCCAATTACAGATACTGAAGAAGAATGTGGTAAGCTACATAGTTTCACTGTCATATTACTTGAATTAATGTATTACATTTTCTATGTAGGAAGATAATAGGTAATGTTTAACACTAACTGGTTTGACCCTGGGGACCATTTGATTCATTTATTACAGTTGTAGTGGAAAATTATTTGGGTGCCGAAATAACTCAGGGGTAACGTTTCTGATTGTAGCACTAGGGGATGCTAGTTCCAATCTCCATGGAACTAACATTTCATCCGAGGTTGCAAATATGAGCTGCCGACGTATGCCAGTTAAGATGGAACCTAGTTCCAGGGCTTTTTGGCAAATTACATTCAATCGCCCAACAACTAGTACTTAAGTCTAATTATCACCGATGACTAATTCATTAAATTTTTGTTTGGTTTTGGAATTCATCATGAGCTGACATCGGTTTGTTTCATTCACTTTATCACCACTGCATAACTTGGTTAAAGGAAATCAATAGTTCTTGCAGAATAAAATGGTACCATCATTTATTTCGTTGGTTTCTCACGTGCTGCTTACAGCCCAAAGTCACTATTAAATATGTCTACAGAAAAAATTTTAACATACTTTCACAGAGTTCATTTTTAAACAAAAATCAATCAATATATGCATACAGTAATTATATATATATGTATATATATATATAAACTGTTGTTCTTGCTTTATTCAAATTCATTAAGGGGAAGTCATTAGTGTTAGCTTTTATTTGGAACCATGAAAATAAAGTAATACTCTCAAACTGAAACTAATCAATTCATTTGTAAAAAAATGTAGTATCAATCTTTAAATCCTATATGCTAAACGTTAATAGTGAAAATCTCAACGGAAATGTTACTAAATTTTCACGGTATATTCGAGCTATATAGCTTAAAGGTTAAGCTTTTTATATTAACTGATGATTAGTTTCCAATCCGTATTGAGTCTACTATTATGACCGACATCAGAAGATTGTGAATAGTTACCGTGTAGAAATAAGTGGTTAACACTGTCAAATTAGTTTTATGCGCAAGTTTAATACAGTGTCAATAGATAATCACTTCCTTAAATTTATGAAAATGGAAATGTTATGTCAGTATATATATATATATATATATATATATATATATATATAAATGTATATATGTATATATATGTAAACTATATGAATAACCTAACTGATAGCATTCAGAATGATTTAATCAAGATGATTTAATTGTCTCACATGAAAATTGATGAAATATGATTATATCAGATATGTATGAAATATACTGACATAATATTTTTTTGTATTTTGCAAATATTTTAAGTGATTTTTGAAATTACTTACCTTTTCGACATTTCGGGATAGATTTAGGCCTTTCTTGTGAATTTTTAATAAAAAGGTGCTACATTGTAGTGTAGAGATGTTGATCATAGAACCAAGTGAAAATACTCACTTGTTTTTTTCTTAGTTTTCTAATAACAAGAATTCTCACTTCAAACCAGTGAGTTCGTTTGTCATATCCTAGACTATTAGGAAACACTAGTAAGGAATGTAATGGATCGTTGCATTAAATGATACGACATACTACTTCACAGAAAGTTTTCGATCAACATATATAATTCGATAAGCAGCTACACTGTCGACCATCATCGACTCACACAAGGGGGGAAGTTATGTTGTGAATAACTTAGTTCAAAAGTCACTAAATGTCATGTCTGTGATAGTGTAACAATACTGCTGATTTGTGGTTTCCATACTAGTATGGATCACCGACCCCTGCTGATCTCCAGGGCCCATGGAAGTGAAAATAGAAAACAGACTAGTATGTGCCGGTGAGAACAAACCGACTTTTTTCATACAAAAATACATTATATAATAAATATTATGCACCTCGAACAGTTAAGCTAATAATTAAGCAATTATACTTTGATTGGACGCTAGTAACTAGTGTGACGTGTCTAGTCCTTTCTTTGGTGCAGACTGAATTCTATCAGTCAGGGTTGCAATGTGGCCACCATTCTAGGTAGTTCGCCATCACGTGCACATTGATTTGATGATATTAGATAGTTGGAGGCAATCAGCAGGAAGCCTTGAACCTAGGTTTCGTACTAGTTAGCACTCACGAGTCAGCAAGGCGTATCTGCATCCTTGAAGAAACTCATGTCACTTCTGAGATTCGAAGCCTCGTCCCCCAGTGCTGCAGTCAGAGACGTTGGTTGAAGAAGGTTGAACTTCTGGGTTGTCTGGTTGCGTTGTAGTAAATGTTCTGTCTCGGTCCAGTGGTTTAATCTGTGTATTCTGTTGTCATCTTGTCTTGTTTGAGGTGTTTTCAACCGTTTCCTATCAGTAACTTTTGGACTGCATGATTTCGCGTGCTTTCTCCAGTCTTCAGACACATCATACCGGTGAGAATAGGTCATCTGACTTCTAAAGTGTAATACAATAACAGTGGCTCAGGTTTGTTCGTTAAATTCACCCTGATTGACCTACATAACTAATGGATTTATTATTTAGTATTCTCTTTCGTCTTATTAGTTCATTATTTACCAGTGTTAACACACTTAAAATCTGTGAATGATTGAGGAAGGTTTTCAGCCTAGTACAGGTTCCAACAAAATCATATATCTTGTTCTGAAATTTGCGCATCAGTAAGTTTGTCCACTAAAATGTCACATCTTCGGGATGATCAACAACCATGGCACCACCATTTACTGTTTTTTATCCCTCCAGGAATATCCTGTTTACTATTTAAAAAAATGTAAATAAGCTTGTGGATTGAATCTTAGTCTGTCTTCATTTTCTGATGAATTATTCGTTCGTACATGATGTGTAGATTATATTTGCTTGCATAGGATCATCAGCAGGTCGTTTACACAATTCATCTTCGTGGAAGTATCTACTATGAAATATTATGTGTAAACTTGATCTTCAGCATTTCAGTCTATAAAATTATTACCACTAAGATATTTGGACTGTAATTGTCTATTTGTTCTATCGCTTTATCTGTCTGGAGAATACTGAGTGACTCCGGCAATCGTAACTTAAATAAACATAAATGGAGATAACAGTTTTTGGTCGACAACCTGATGAATTTTCTGATTCGACTTATTTTTATTTCTTTATCCAGTTGAACCCGATTTCACTGTTATGCCATCTTCACCCTTATTTTCACGTGCACAAAGTAGACAAAGTATTGGGCAACAAAATTTCCAGCGTTCTCACCATCCTCATCCTCATCATCATCATCCGCAACAACAAAATCAAAATAATTTTGACTATAGATCGTCAGATGAACATTATGGACATCGAGGTGGTATAAATCACGTGAAAATAGCTCCAGATAAATTATCTAATGTTTCAGGTATGTATTATGTGTGTGTGTGTGCATGTATCCGTCTACAACGCTTCACCCTGGTTCAGCCAAGCATGTGCATGTTTCTCAAGGCTATTGAGTTTCTTTATAATCTCGTTTGATAATCTCTTAAGCGTTCGGCACATTATTTATATTTAAGAACTTTAGTCTGAAAAATGTAGCAAAACCGTAACAGTCAACCACACAGTAATACATATGTGATTGTGAATTGTGGATTGAGTCACTTGTAGGCACACACTTAGACAACTTTTCCTCATGCATAAAAAGTAGGATAGCTATGGGGAGTAATTATTACTTAATAAGGATATTTGTCACCATTTTCTGAACTACTGACCGATATTCTCGCAGTATACACAGGTTGTCTGTAAGTGATTTGATTAAAATTAGTCATCAAGTCATGCATTAATGATAACTTTTTATAATTGTGACTATTAAGTATGCATACATTTATGGGTTTTGTTATTCTTTTCTTCTGTTCATCAGGTGAAGATAGTATTCATGAAGGTACAGCAGCTGAAAATGCTCATGGTATTACTTGGCGAGACACACAATTCGGTTATGGAAGTCGGGTAAAAATTCTCCTAATGTTCACATTTACAATACTTGCTATTCATGACACATTGATATCAATTTTTACTGGAGTAAAACAGATGAATATTGGTATAGTACTAGATATCCTCATTATCACCATCTTATAAATGCCTAAGTTTTGAAGGCGATTGTTTCCGCAGGTTGATGGTGTTGCTATGGGAAGTCCATTAGGGCCCCTTTTAGCAGATATCTATATGTCGTACTTTGAGAGTCTATCGGAGGATTTAATCGAAAATGTGCCACTTTATAGAAGGTATGTAGATGACATTGTAATCATAAGTGATAAGCGCCTTGTTCTGCCATCTCAATTTTAAATCGAATGAATAAAGGTCAGAATAGCATATCACATTCGTCTGTAAAAGAGGAAGATAATTGTTTATCTTTCCTAGACATTTTGCTTAGTCGACAGTTTGATGGGTCAGTAAGACGATCTATTTATAGGAAAACCTACCTGGACAGGACAGTATCTTAGTTATCACAGTTTATGACCTATTCGGTACAAAACAGCCTTACTAAGGTGCCTCTACAGTAGAATCCAACGAATATGCACTAAAGACAGACACACTTGATGAGGAAGAAAAAAGGTTGACACAAACTCTGGTTGGTAACAATTATCCAGACAAGTTCATCAGGAGATATTAAGCAGTCAGAACACCAAGATCCACTCTCCAACTCGCCCCTAAGAAAGACGTGTACATCAAGCTACCCAATATGGGGCATCATGGCAGCTTGATAACTAAACAAAGATTGAACGCTGCTGTTAAAAAGATATTTTATGCAGCTAATATCATAATAATTGAGAATGTGAAGCCAATAAATCGATCTAAGTCCTTTGAACGTGCGAAGAGTGACGTCACATCCCACTGTATTTACCAACTTGACTGTACGTGTGGACACAGACATAGGGAGGACTCATCGATCTCTGCAAGTAAGAACTTCATAGCATATCCCTAAATGCCTCCAGAAGCAAATGGAATCTTCGGAACCGATTAATGGTAAGAACGGGAGACCCAGCTCCTCTACAGCAAAACATTTTATAGAGACAGGACATAAAATTGACGTCAACACATCTTTTAAACCTGTCTATAAAATGTGTTTGGTGTGTATCCCTGAGTTTGTGGAAGCCCTATCAATTAGAAAGTTTAAGCCATCTTTATGCGTTCAAAAACAATTCGTCATCACACTAAACCTACGTTCCTTGGTAGACTTTGTCTTTATACCAGTCAGGGCAGATGTACTATTACCTCTGTCATTTGGTTTAGTGATCATCATGTTATTTTGACCTTCAATGTATCCTTTTAACTTGACCTAAATTCATTTTCTCACCTCTTAACTCTTTATTGATTTCATATATATTCCTATGAAAAATCCGTATGTGATGAGATTGCTCGAAATGTGTTGCGCAAATACACTCCACGATCAGACAAATTACGTCTTCTCATTGCTTTGTCTAAATTAAAATTATTATTTCTGAACTGTCATTAGTTGTTTAATATTCCATAACAGTTTCTCGCATAGCTAAAACTGATAACAAAAGAGTTTGCAGGTCTTTCCAATATCCCATTTGGATAAGCTTTAGAATTTCAATGTGAGTTTATAAGTTTCCTTGACTTGCATTGACGCAAGTGTACTTTAACTACTACAATTGAATTACATGCATACATTAGCATGTGTAGAGAAGGTAACTGTTTCTGATAGCCTTATAAATATTCTTTGTTTGATAGCTAATTATTTTGAAGCATTTTAACACACGTTTACAACCTTCTTATGGGAGATGTAATCTATAGAGTTATGAAAAGTGAATGACGATTAAAAATCCTCATCCATTGAAGTAAAGGAGAAAATTACTGTACGCAGTGTGATATCCATCTTCCAAAACAAGCAATTCCAGAGTATTTAGGTTTTCATTAGGATTTTTATAAACTTCAATGTAAATTTCGTCACGAAAAAAACGCAATTTCGGACGCAATGGACAACTGTTCCGACCTAATTTGGGACTTTTCAGCAATCAAACATTCACAACTACACCAGGAATATAACTTAGGACCGGGCAGTAGTGCTATATCACGAATCGACATAAGTTAGTAGCTGAATGGCGAATGAACTTGGCCACGTAACCTGAAGGTCCTAGGTTCGATACTTGAAGGGGTCGTGGGCTGTTCCAGAAGAGTCCCAAACTAAGTGGAGAAAACTGTCAATACTCTTTGCTTCTTAACGGTCTCTAGCAGGTGTGAAGTTCGTGGCGATAGCTATATTGAAACAGGATCAGTTTAGAGGTTAGTTAGTAGAGGTCACTACTGATCTATGATATCTGACATTCGTTCCCAGTTGTCTAGTTGTCTTCCTAAGAAATTACTCGATGTATTCATCTTATCTGTTTATAAATAGCACACATTATACGTATATATGTTCATGTTTAGTCGACAACATGTTCATTCAAAGCGATAAGTGGATAAATGCATCAATAATTACATGGAAAGCTAGAGCTTATTCAACAAATGCTAACTGAATTTAACAGATGTATGCTTTCGATACATAATCCTGTGGAGTGTTTTTATGCCTGTTAGTAATTATATCGGTGTGATAGTAGCTTCGACTTGAAGTTATTTACACTTATAAATGGTTCTAACTTTTCAGTTATGAAAAGTTAACAACTTATTTGGACAGTTACAAAAATACACACACCATGAATTACCACAGCGGTTATTACTCTAGCCGACCATGCACATGGTCCGGGGTTCGATCCCCTGCTGATTCACACTTGATATCAATAGTCGGCCTGCAAAATTTGGGCTACCGATATGACACGCTGAAAATTCATACTTGTACCAAAAGTACTGTGTGGTTTCAAGCTGTAATAAAAAAATAAAAAAAGAACTATTCATTACTGGTGTTTATCATCAACATTTTTCTTAAAGTATGATGGATGAATCGAGAGATGCATAAGTGTGCCGGAATACACCATTTAGAAATCTTGATGACAATCGAAAATGAATATACCTATCTGTGTTATTGTAAATGACTTTGTGTCATGTCACAAAGAATCACCAAATTCCAGTTCGACAACTTTGTTTTTGATTCCCTTGCAATGCACAAGTAGAATGAAGGGCTTTAAGCTTTCAAGTTTCAGTAGCTCTTGTGTTTGTAAGGCGTAAGATTGCCAGCCTCACGTTCAACCTCTTTTTCCCGAGTTTGTTACCTGCTAGGCAAGGTTCAAGAGTGTATCATTTGGAAATGGAACCTGGACTACGCGCGTGGCTGTTGGGCATTCTACTCTTGAACCACTGACTCACATTTTGGCAACTTATACGTCTCTAAATGCCTAAGAATAGTAGTTAGAAACTTCTTGAATTAGTTTTGATATTTTAATCTTATTAGATACCTAATCCAAAGTCGTCTAACATAGAGTAGCGAAGATTCTCGTGAATAACGGAGATGAATCATCTCTAGATGAAAGAAACTGAGTAACGACGATTAACGCTGGATAACCGATGGTATATAATGAAGTAGTATATCGAAAACTTAAAGTGCTTAGGAAAATCACTATCTCAAAAGCAAATATTTTTTTATGTTCCTAAAATAGATCAAAGAAAGAGTTAGATTAAAAAAGTGAATTTGAAGTTTTGGGTCAATAGGGAAGAAGTTGTTCATACGATTGACATAGAAATAGAAAGCCTTCCCACAAATTTCTTAAACAACAGATATCCTAGAAGGTTTATCGACAGAAACATCAAGAAAGAACCAATTCCCAGCCAAATCACAGTGTCAAAAAAGACACTGTTTATGAGTTTGGCGTTCAAAGGTGACAGTATTTCTGAAGTAATTAAAAGTCGTTTATCTAAATGTATTGAACGGTGATTTTACTCAGCTGACTTACATTTAGTGTTTACCAGTCAAAATATGATTCGACAATGCGTCAAGGATAAACTACCGATTATGTTAACCTCTATGTGCATATACTCATCCACATGTTCCTATAGAGCTGATTGCATTGGACGTTGTAAGAGTAATCATCCTAAACGCGTAGCTGAACACTACCCGGTTCGGTGAATGAAAGGTGTGCGAAGGACGATAAAGTCTTCAATTCGTGAACACCTTCTGGAGTCAGGTTATTCAGCCCCAAGTGATTTATCCTTTAAATTTATCTACAGGACCAAATCCAATCACTCTAAAAGCTTATGTTTTCTCCCCTTATGCATAGCCGAAGCTCTAGCCATACTGGACAAAAACCTAAATTATGTATTCAAAAACGTCTTGTCAAACCCCTTTCTTTACCTTGGTCATAGTAATGTTCTTTTATTTTATTCTATTTTACCATTTGAATTAATTTCACTTTACCTTCGTCGTCTTTATTATTATCATCATCGTACTCTTAATTTTTCAGACAACACTTAACCTACTGTTTTCAAAATCTGAATACCAATTCACTTATTTAATAATCTTTAAAAGTTGTATAATTCATCCACTGCAATTCTACCCTCTTAGTACATAATTTTAATTATCTTTGTTCTTATCATATGTATATTGACTAAGCAATGTCTGGTGCCACTTAATACCGTTTTTCGTAGTATAAATGCGACTGTACAGCTTGAAAATGAAGTCGTAGAAAAGAAATGTTTCTTAGCTGAACGAAAAGTGTTTTCCTCTTTATGAATTCCGACAAAACAATAGGATATAATTTGCCTTAAGTATGTAATGTGTTTTCTCAACACATTCCGTAAATCCTGATCACAAATACTTGTCATACATATTCATTTAAAAGCCAACAGAGTATAAAGGATCAAAATTTTATCAACATAAGTCCAAATTATTTATTTTTAATTCAATTTTGATTTTCCTGCTAATTGATTGGACGGAAATATTCGGCCTCTGTTGACACATCAGCTCCTTGTGCGCATGCTTCGATGATGTCTGTTCTCTCATGGCCCGAGTGGTCTAGTGGAAAACGCTTTAGCGTCTGAAACCATGGACACCATGGGCCTTAGTGGGGATACCGTCACTCACCGGGGAATGCAGGTATATCCAGCTGACGAGTCTGAAGTAGGACAAAGTACGCATCCTGGATTCCACTGCTAGTCACCATCTACCAAATTACTTCAATATCGGTCCAAATGTTAACTGGTCACCATCACAAATAAAACGTAGGAAAATTAAGTAAGAAAAAAGAGGGGATGAAAATATTATCAAATGAAATAAGCAATGGCTTTAAAATTGGATTTCTAAGGCACGTTCAAAATAACAACATATTATTTTTGAACACATAAAACATGCTTAAGCGTTTTCATGACTGAGGCTTCAATGAATTTATTTATTTATGGGTTTATGGGCACTATAAATAAACTTTATGATCTATATGTATGATGTGCTTTTCAATAGATGACGTCCGACATCTGTCTCAGTGGTTAATTGAATCAGGCGATTTGTTCTTGCAGCCATTTAGAAATGTATTCCATAGCCCTGCTCTATTGTTATACGATTGTTGGAAGTCTGCTAAATTGCGACACTCTATTAAGTTAGAAGGCCTAATCAGTTGAAAGTGATTAACGGTTTATTGTCAGAATGAATCACTATACAAAAATATCACCGAAGACAATTGAGTATTATTATACCTACAGTCAATCAACCATCACTTTTAGTCAACTCAGTTATATCCAATATAAAGTGAGAGTTGATGGTATAGCTAATGTGCTGAGGAAATAACAAAGGCGCATTTCCCACTCCTTTGAGTAATTACGTCTCTACAGCCGGCTTCTTGTATGCGACATAGTTGACTCCATAATACAATAACTACGACTTTTTCCTACTCCTTTTCTCAATCTAATCTAATAAGAAACTAGTGATTCTATTAAGTCATTCTGTAAATAGTAAATTACAGAATGAATGTACGCAGCATTGATATCGATTATATTATTGTATCCTTTTTCAAAATTAAGTGGTCCTGAAGAAGCATGTATATGTTTGTGATCACATGTTTTCGCAAATAAAATTTATCATTTTATTCATTTTAAATACAGGAAAATGGACTGTCCGAAATTAGAATAAGCCGAGATTATGCGGAGCTTGGTATGGCAGCTGCTTCAAGTTTAGCAGGATTTTCAGGACTGGTTGAATGGGACTTCACTCCAGATAATGTACCCATCCCCAGACGACCAATAGCTTCAGGGTGAGTTAAAAATGGGGATTTTTCTCAAGTCCAGCTGTCTCCTTCAGCCCACAGTTTACATTAGCTGAAAAACAATGCCACTTAAACTACTTGTGTGTAGTTGTTATAATCTAGTGATGTGTTCTTATTTTTGATTGGTTCTTTGGTTTGCATGTTTAGATATGATTTTACTTAAGGTCATTTCAAGGTTCATGATAGCCTGGATGAAGTTACAACCAATCATCATTCAGTAATTTGACTTTATATCCATTAAATGGTAACGCCCACTACTAATAATTTCATAAAATCTTTCAACGTATTTAGTACGTAAACATTTCAAAACACACAAGTGTACTACGTTTATTAGATATTAAATTGGTCACCAAAATGATTGCTCTAAGTCAGGATTTCCCTGAAATAAACCATGAACAATTCAGCAGAGAGCATACAGAAGACAAAGATGAATTGTTTGTTTACCCTTTAGTTCGTGAGCGGTGAGTCAACTTCGACTGGTGTGTTATACTTTTTTCAAACTATTTATTTGTAATAAATTCTGAGATCTCAAGAGGAATATAATGGAAGGTGCGTAGTGTAAAGCACTGCTGTCACCTAGTTATACATCTCTCATTATTTATGGATGGGAATTGTAATACAGTGACGTTGTAATTTCATCATGTTAGAAAGTATAGCATGATTTTTCAGATTTTTATGTGTAGATTATCATAGTTTTATACTTTATCTAACATAAGCTTGTCTTCTAGTAATAGTATGAAGTGTTTGCTGTAGTGCTTCAGTTAATACAATTACCTGTTTTTATCACTTCACTTTAATTTAATACCTTGGATTATGCCTTAGTGAAGAGTATTATTATGAAACGATTACTGAGTGAAAATGGTTACCCAGAGACTATGGATCTAAATCCAAGTCAAGCTAAAGTATCAACAATTCAGAAAAAGATCTTGTTCTAACACTTTCAGATCCGCGGTGATATCACCAATGAAATAATAACACGATCCTTAAGGAATGCGGTAAAAAGAGTACTCAGTGCTGCTGAAGTACACTGTCTCTTCTCAAACACTCCAATTTACGTCCAGGGGTTAAATATAAACTACCTAATTTTGCCCTTCATGTATATTTATCTGTTTGACTGCTCCTGTACAGCCAGTAACATAGGCCGTACAATTAGGCATGTTTATCATCGGATTTCGGAACATCATCCAGTATGGTTAGCCAAGGGACAAACAGGGTCCATTCATAGTTCTATTGTAGTTAATCTTGTGGATACAGAACATAAAATTGGTGTTAAAAAAAAGGCTTTTAAAGTTATCTACTGATATTCCGACTAATCTTAATTTTACTTTATGGTTTCGTCTGTTACATATTTCTGAAGCCATCGTAATCTACAGTAAGAAACCCAACTTATGCGGTCAAACGAAGTCCTTTCATATGCTTTCTTTACCTTGGTCCTCAATGTTTTAACTATCTTTGATTGTTGCGCAAGTTTTGTTAATTTTCAGCTGATGGTTTGCAGGGATTTGATTGGTTTCAAGAATTCGTCATAAGCTGACATCGGTTAGAGAACCACTGGAAAACCTGGGAATGCTGGACAGCTGTTCTGTTAGCCTAGTTTGGGACTCTTCAGTAGTACGCGCTCGCCACTAGGCGAACTCGTAGACCATTAGGCCACTGAGAACCGATCCAATGGCAATTCCATGAATTCCGATATCTGTCAATTCACGACATAGCTTGACTGGCACTAGCCAATGCCATCGCCGGCGAGTATTTGTTCTCAGACCCGACCTGCTGTGCTTTACTGGTCACAGACTCCCACTAGAACCCAGGTAACTACCTACCTGCATAGGGCCAGTCACCAGTGAGCATCAGATTGATATTCAAGTGTTGGTTTGCAGGGATTCTCTTAATTCCTAATTTTCTCTGGTATTAAATTCAGTACTATATTTTTATGCCTGTTATAATTTGCGCATCTCTCTTTGACTGTGATTCCACTGATCTTGGCAGATAGTATTTTTTTAAAAAGAAACGTTATTGACCGTTTTTCTAGAATATCATATATATATATATATAAGTGAGGAATTTATCGAAAATAGTATTTTTTACTAGAACTTCTTTGTCTTCTAAATTGGGAAAAAAGCATAAAAATTTAAAATGATCTGTATATTCTGTAAGTTCTAAAAGGATAAAATTTGTCCTGTTTGTTGTTACTACTTCACCATTGGGAATTATCAGGCTTATGGTCTCTTTACTCACCACTGTTGAAACTATTAGTTTGATATTCTGATATTTAAGTAAAAATCAGCAAGACTAAATTATATAGGGCTAAATGAATAGTCAGCTAAATTCTGTCTGTCTGTTTTCGACATAGAACTTTGCACATATGTGCGGCAGTTCAAGTCGCCACATTCCATGTAGCACACAAAACAAGAGAAGAAATTAGGAGAAATGCATATTAGAGACAGTAAACAGAGGTGAGAAGCTAAATTACTTTGAGTGACTTTGCAGAAATATTTTTAACATTAAATCATTCTTCATATTTTGTTGGTCTGTTGGGATTATGGAAGCATTTGAAGAACAGTATTGCAGTGGTAAATGTACCAAGAAATGACATTAAATGCTATCATTTCAATGACTACATGTACAGAAATGCTAAGAACCCTTGTAATCAGCCGGAAGAAACTTTCGTAACACATAAGAGATTGCCATTCTGTAGAATTGTTACATAATTTGTTTCCGATGAACTTTTTTTATCCATATAATGCCTTCGTTATTCAAAGTCTTTTTCCATTATGGATAAGATTTTATTTTGATAAATCACAGTGTTACACAGTAATATTAACTGATGACGTTTCGAAACGAGTTACACTCTACCACAGTGCCCAAGTTTTATACTTATATCAAAGTCTTTTTGTTGGTCGCTAGCTTGGGTCACCATACTTTAGTCTATCCTGAAAATTTTTACGTCCTCATGTCCCTTGCATTGAATGTCAAGACACACAAGAATGCTGAGTTTTGAACTCCCATGGGTTATATATGCACACCCTATTATTTAGCCATACATAGATTCTGTGGTAATTTCAATGTGTTATTGGTGAAGATCTGGGGTAAAACGAAAATCTGAGTCGCGGTATCTGCATTACTAAACCGTCACAGTACCCACTGAGCTTCCAGACCTCTTTGTTAGTGAAGTCATAATTTTACTGGGATCATGTGTGAATGAGTGGTATGCAACATCACACTATCTGCTCTTTTATCAATTGCAATCATACTGAATTCGAAGAGCAGATTGCTAATTCTCAGTGAACCTATCTGACATTTTCAATTGGTTTTCGAGAATAAAATAATCTGTTTTGATTGTTATAATCACTATTGTGTTTACTATATGCAGGTGTTTACAATTATATGTCAAGTTTTTAAAACTTGTTGACAGTGTATGTATGAAATTTAAAACTTTTTGGCATAAGTAACATTTATTTGGCCCAAACTGTATTGTTTTTACTTTCTCTACTTCAGACCCTGTACACGCTTTTATGAATTGTTTAAAATTAGCTTGCTAGTTCAGTTGAACCATAGATGTATGGATGAATAATGTGATGTTCGTCGTATTGACTTCATTTTTTCATCTGCTTTGTGTTTGTGTGTGTGTGTTTATATGTTCCTATGTGTTACTTTGTTTCATTAGGTTGAAAATAACATCTTAAGCAAATTACTTTCACTTTTGATATAATTATTTTAGAATTATCGATTTAATTTATACGAATGCATACTTTTCTCTTTTTATTCGAGAGACAAAGAGTTTATACGTAGATACGATGATAGACGGTTAGTTTGTTAGTTGGGAGAATAGAGAGTCATATTAATTATTGACTGTTTTTCATCGCGATACTTTCTCTTCATATTTATACCTATGAAACTTCACTATTGTAGACCTGCGAAACATCTGAGTACTTAACCGTCATTCATAACATCGCTAGGTACAGTAAATACCTCATCGTGAGGAAAATAAATGATTAAGAGCTAAATCCTAGATGGTTTGGTTGATTCATCCGAAGAGGATGGAAGTTTCTTTCATCAGAGGTTCATGGTGCACCTATTATGCATGTATTAGCATCAGTGTGTTCTCTCAGGGTAAGATCAAACTGGGAAAAATGTAAGTAGATCAAGATATAGTAAATATACCGTAAAATTTTCGGTTTTTCTGGTTGTGGTCGTTCAGTAACGGGAATATGTTTGAAGACGATAAGTATTATGATTCAGAATCAATCACACTGATACAGATGCATTTAGAACTGTAGCTTCACTTTCCCTTCATTTAACCTTTTCTCCTCTTGTTTCACAGCTTTCTGTGACCTTAAGCTGAGTGATTTCCATTTATTTGCACTTAATTTTATTTCTTCACTTGATACGCAGGTGAGGTTTGTAGACTTACACCACCACACAGTAATGCTAGGGTTTATTTTCATCATCATCGGATGTTATATTAATATCACTTCAATGAACTAGGGCTATCTCACTCTGAAAGTCAATGGGCAGATAAGTTAAATCTTTACACAAGTACGTCATCCGTAGTCACATCGAAGTTGAGAGAAGTAACAATAATAATTCCATTATGGGTAAGATTTATTTGGATAGTCTCACAGTGTTAATCAGTAAATATTACTGTTTAACACTGTTTGACTTTATCAAAATAAATTTTACCTATAATGGGATTATTCTCTACCACAGTGAACAAGTTCTATTCTTATAACAATAATAATAATGATATAAAATTGATGTGTGAATAAAAGCCATTGTGAAACTGAAATAAAGATAAGGTGGGATGACATAAAAATATACAATAGTACCTGACAATATTAGACATTCTTTCAGGCTGTTCCAATACGCTATGTTTTAGTTCTACTCCGCTCGTACTCCATACATCGTCTGCTGTGTATCTGTTAATTAGGATGAATAGAAAGTAAGCCTAGGTTGAAGACTGTGTGCAATTTAAAATAACTTAAAAAGCA